CGATTACCCCCGTCAAAGATTCAATTACAACTTTCTGCTGCATTACATCTTGTGAATTATGATGATCAAGGTGAAGGCGTCCATGATGAAATGACAAGAATGCCTCTGAATGTTTGTACTTTGCACTGCTTCATTTGCAGCGCAGAGGGAGGAAGATCGAAGGAGGTAATCAATAAGTCTCGAGGTCAAACTACAAAGATAAAGATTTGGAGATGTTTTCTGAATTGCAAATGCATCTTCAAAGATCCCTGTGTGGTGATCTTCCTCGGGGTGACTGACATTGCGTTTAAATAATCGTCTAACTCTAAACAATATGAGGCAAATTTCATACAAAATAATGCAAAGCAGAATGGTAGTTCCTGTACGTAATTTTGACTTTATTTCAACATAATTTGTTAATTTTTAGCACAGTTAGGTCTAGATCGCTTTCATTTCTTTTTTCCTTCTCACACAAACTAGTATTTCATGTAACTATGTCTTTCAATTTATCAGTAGATCTAATAAAGAACCACCCGCTAGTCTCCGGTTGCAGCCGTCGAGTTTTTTCTCGCCACGCGCTCCAAAATTAGAACATGCACGTGCTTAGCGGGCTTCCCTGGGTTCAACACCTGGTATTGCGACTCACCGTCACCCATTAGGTCGAAAATTGCGAGCGACAGAGCGGCATACCTATTGAATAGCTGTACACTCCTGGACGCCCTGTAAAACAGCAGGATCGGATTGGGGCTTTATTTGTGAACAGCGTACTAGGAAGAGGTATGCGGTAATTAGGTGAACACGAATTATTTTACTATCATACCAGAGTTATTTTTTAAAGGTAATACACAATATTTTCTTTTGCTGTAATATTCAGAAATTAATGGATGTGGGGTTAGTATTTCATAGCAAAATATTGTTACAATGAACTGTTTACAGTTTAATATCCATAGATACTGGGAAAAAAACAAGAACAAAATGCTGTTCTTGTAGTCTGGTACCCTGACCCTACTTCAAACGAAACGGAGCAATGTATATACGTCGGAAAATTGTAAGGCCAGGGAACCAGACTATAGCTGGCTTGCACCATTTCACAGATGTGTCAATTGCTAACAAAATGTAGACTAACTAAATTTGGTAAAATAGGGGCAGTTTTGAAAAAAAGGGTCAGGTTTTTTCCAAGGATGGCCAGCAATGATACAAAAATAAAAAACACTTTTCCTGAAAACGATAGCACACCTGAGAGTAACAGTGATTGTTTTTATTCCTCTAAATGGGATGATGGTCCATTGCTGGTTACTCTCCAGCTAATGCCGGTACCCATGAATTGGGGTGAAGCAGCTTGCCAAAGGACACGGCCAGCAGTTGGATTACAACCCTTGACCCTCTGATCATGAGTCACAAACCGTAACTACTAGGCCACAATCCCCACAGTTTAGTAGATGCTTATGCAACGACTTGAAATCAGGACTATTTATGGAATTAAGATTTGTTTAAACTTTTCGAAGTTTTACATCGTGTGCAAAGAGTTCACAATTTAGTTCGTTACATTATTTCTCTTGACTTTCAAAGTCCAACTTGGCTTAAGAGATGGTAATCGTCTTGATTTTTGTCAATCGCCAACTAGTGCATAGATGGGACCACTTTAAAATTGGGAGTTGTTAAATCCATACAACGTAAGTATCCTTCAACGTAAGTATTAATTAGCCTATAATTGATATGTAAATATGAGAAACATCCGCACGAGGAAGAAGTCACAACTTCTTTTGAAATTTAGAAATATAATTCTTTCAAAAATTATGTAATTTCCGGAAAATAGCAAAATACTCAAATTTGTATTGCTGGGAAAAAAACAGTTGCACCGTCTTAAAAAACGCGGGGATAAACAGCTCTAAATTTAAGGGGGAAAAGGTAAATTAATGCGAGTGATCCTGCTAATGCGTCTTTGCCGTCAATAAGCACATCTGCCTAACATATCTCACTCAATCGCCAGCTTCCCAAGAAGTTAAGACAAGAAAGACCGGCAAGAGAGATAATAGCGGCGGCCTTGTCTCAACGTCACCTCACCAGGAGAGACGGGGGAGTTGAGGTCCCCTGCGGACTAGAATCACATCCCTCCGTGAGTAAAAGCACCGCTCTACACCACACAGCCTTAATGCGCGCATTTGAAATGACGCCACGTAAACCCCAAGGTTCATTTGACTTTGAGAAATCTGATTGAAAAACAAGAAATGAGCACATGAACACAGAGAGTGATTTTAATCAGTGATAGCTGTTGTAATTGCCCAAGGCGCGTTTGTGCTCAGCGTCGACGTGGCTCTGCCTGACATGTGCTCGGTTTTTTTATTACGAGGACAATGAATAATGGATAGGGACAATTTCAATTTCAATTTTTGTGGAATTAGTGAGGCTTGCCCAAGGTGTGAGGGTGGAATTTTTTTGGTCTTGACGTGAGGATGCATTTCATGAATTGAGTATCCTAGGAAAAGCAATGGCCTGGTCATTTAGACCGCAATTTATTGCATTTCTGGATGGTATTGGTTAACACATCAGAGTGATCTAATCAATTATCAAAAATTAATTATAAGACAATCGATAGATATTTATCAACTAAATACGTAAACATGTTAATCTCTTCAAACGACTTGGCCTGATTCCTGAATATAATAAAATTACCAAAAACAAATTCTTAGATGACTATTTTTGTTGCCACACTCCATTTGGTTACGTCACATTATGCATTCGGCGCGCAGGCTTGTGTGACGTCACGAAATTATAGGTTTCTTTCTGCCATCTTGTCCTATTCGTTGTCCAATAATGGTTGCACTTTTTCCCATTTTTTTCATATCGCAGTTTAATATGTCAACTGATACTGTATTCCTTTTCCCTAAAGGGCATGTTTGCATTGACTGAAGACGTCTCTCCCTTTTCAAACACCCGTAACGTCACTGGGATGAAAACAAATTGCTGTACTCGCACAGACAGGGGATGAACCGAAGCCGGAAGTCCAGTCTTTTTTCAAAAGGCCGCATAGTTATGCCGAGTCTTCACCGATTTTTAAGAAAGGCAATTTTAAAACAAACTGGAAGTTATTATTTCAGCTTGCACCCGATGTGAAGATTTGTTTTTATAAATTTGTTTAAAAATGCATTAACTCTCGAAGAGTTGTTAACATCATATACCTTGAAATACACAATCCCATATTGGCAAATTGGAAAAAAAAGCCCTACGTCAAAAATCAATCAAGCTCAGTTCTTGAACGCAATTAGCGAAGATAGGGTTGGTAAATCGGTCAAACATAGCACAGCCAAAAGGCATACTATAAAGATAATCAAATTTGTGTTTAGTCAGATTTTTCCTATGGGCGTCAACTGTCAATCGAAATGGTAGTTGCAATAGTTGCACAACTCTAAAATAACAAACAGGGCGAGACTTAAAAGCGTTTTATTTAACCAAGCACAGATAAGATTATACCACAAGGTGAGATAAGAAAAAGTAATTATAATAAAGCAGCAAATACTCATATTAAAATGGAAATCGGTGGAGGGAAAATCGTTTTATCGCGGACGATGACCTGATAAGAGAAAATCTTTTAATGTATACACATATTCACTTTGCATCACACTGACAATATAACATTCTCCAAAATCAGTTCAAGTTAGCGCCTCGGGACATGAGAGCCTTTGATTTAAGTAAAAGGCCTGTGATGAGTACATGCACTTGTCAGCTGTTGTCAACAAAAGATCCCACAATACGAAACGTCTCATCGGCAACGCCAAAATAATTAATTAACCGACCTGCAGAGCCGAGGTATTAAACTCAAACTTGTGCGAATATGACCCAGGCCATTCTGTATACATAAGTGATGCTCTGCTTACCGGAAAATGACGTGCTTACATTAACCATTCTGTGCTTATACAGAGCCGAGCACACACATACTACGCTACTTGGTGAGCCGAGAATCCTCAGTTGCCGGATACATGCAAAAGTCAAAATGCCCTGAAATATGCTTGATATTTGCTCGGAATTTCCTGCCATAAGCGGCGATTGTTCTGCTGACGGTAAGCAGAGCCATGGAATTCCCACCTGATCTTAACATCAGAAGAACAGTACACTCACACGTGCATGACATCCTGTTGATTCTAGTCTCCATGCACTTTAAGGTGCTACTCGCCTCTACATTCTACCTGCTGTCTATTTTTAGACAAATCCGAGGATAGAGCTCTCTCGCAAACCTAATAAGCGAAATCCGAGTGCGTTTTTGAATAGGAATCCGCGCAATCTTGCCATGCTTGGGTTGGCGGAGAAAGCAGGGCAAGGCGCGTCATTCCGTGCGCGTTTTAGGCGGAAAGAACGATTGCCAAATGGAGCTTATCTAAGCCGAATCACGTCGGAGAGAAAGACGAAGGGGTCGTTAACTTGGCTGAGATTTATCAGCATAAAACGAAAATAGTGCTTTTGGTTACTGTTGCTGCCGTAACTATTGATAACGTAGAGATACCTAGCGTTTGTATTTTGATTACAGTTTCCTCACACAATGTTCAATTTTCTTGGCAATCGTATGAGTAAAGCAATAAAATAATCCCCATGTGAGATAGTACCTTGAACTCAAAATGCAATTACATTGGAGGACACTGTTCAAAATGCAGGTATGTTAAATCTAAAGCGATAAAATCGTCTATTTGTAGGATTTGATTGACAATAATTTCACCGCCCACATTGCAACGCGAAGCACGCAACTAAATTCTTTTACAATAATCCATTAATCAATATTTCACTTTTAGTTTCACAGTGAGTTTTACATTTGTAATGAGTTTGGTTGGCTATTTCAAGGCAATACGATAAAACTGTTAACAAGATGATATTTACTGAAAGCTAACTTACAGCAATCAAACTTCACACAGACTTTCAACACAATCGTGCTCACACGTTACGCGTTGTGTTTGACATTCGATGAAATGTCGTGTGACTCGTGTCCAACAATAAAATAATTAATATTTCAAATAATCAAATGTTTCTTTTACCTTTTGTGTTCAGCAGAAGTACGACAACCCACGCCAGAGACAAGATGGAAGACGGAAAAAAACTCCTGACGAACATTTTCCTCGATATTTTTCTTAAGAGTCACTCCTCCGAAGCATCATCAAAACCGTCCGAAGATGTACAAACTCCTGTGGCATTTGCTGCTATCTCCTTAGACAAAACCTGTGCATCATAAAGAAAGCTTTCCAAGTCATGCTTCCTTCCTGTGTTTCGTGGCATCTGCAGTCATGTTTACTTTACTGTCCTTTCCAAATCCCTCAGATGCTTGATAATCTTGTCAGCAATCCAAACCACCACTTTTCCACACTCAGTTTTAAGGCATAAGTGTATTAGCCAATGTTTTTTCATCACCCTGCAGCTTGTTCCGCAAGCTCTTGAAAGCAAGGTTGCCAGAAAGCTTCTCCACCTTTACCGTGCCATTTTCTTACCACCGCTACCAGACAAAATTCCGTATTGAAGTAGTCGCACCGCAATTCACATTTACTGCAACGAACGACGCATATAAACCATTTATGACATTTCCTGAAAGGAAGGCTTTTTACACACGCCCAGCGTGTAGGCAATGCTTGGTACGCGCGCTTGTAAAAGTGCTTTATGGCATGTAGCCGACATCTGATAGGTTTTTACATCGTCAGTAGACAGCACGTGAACTATTACCGCAGCAGCTGGTAGCAAGGACCCTATACGCATGTGCGGGCACGGCGATGCTCTCAGCATGGAAAAAAGCCCGCCCTCTTTAACAATACCGATCACAAGTCCATATTCCGCAATTCAGGATAAATATTCACAACTCTCCGAGATGTTTGAAACACATATCAAATTAAGGCTTATTTCATCTTTCATTTTCTGTTCAGTGTTTTGGGATTATCCAATGACAAATCGGATACTGACCGTGACAAATACCGCAAAACATGCACGTTTCGCATAGTGCAAGGTATGTAATGCAATGCTGGACGTCCAAAATGGCGGATCTTGCACCGTTCACTTGATAATGTCGCGTGGATGCAACACCTCAATAGAAGTGCCCACCAATTGGTTACAATCTGGAGGTCAAGACGCAGTTTTGTTTTGAATTATTAATTGCCGAATCTGCTCGTATATCTTAGACTAGGTTTCAACCTGAAACGCGGCAAAATGTTCAGGTGTGAATGGAACACGCGGCGCTTTGATCACGCCAGTATATACCTTCAATGTAGCATACCAACAAAAATGGTATCCGATCTGGCGACGCACAGATCACAGCTGCTGGACCTTAAGACACGGAATAAATTAAACACTAGGACAACAGATTGGCATTTAGGGCCTACATTCAACTACAACAAAAATCAATTTGTCTTTAAAATCCTCCCCGTTTTGCAGGTGACGGATTCTACATTTAACTATTGATGCCAAATTGTACGATAAAAAGGTCCAAATGCCAGGCGGGAAACCAAGAGTAAAGTTAAATAAATAAAACATATTCAGACTAATTTGTGTCTTTGGAAATTTCACAGTTTTCTGAGTGTTGAAAAAAATGCATTTGTAGCCGCTAAAAACACCCCAGTTTAAACCTCATTAAAGCTTGAAAAATTAACCAAACTAGGCTCAGTATAAAAACTAAAAAAATTGGAGAGAAATTGATTTTACATTTCTAAAGACAAACTAACCGTTCAAATTTGAATTGCGGTTTCAAGAGCACGGGTCCAAACAAAAACATGCTTTGTTATTTTAATAGGCCTATGAATCAAACCAGATGTCACAGGATGAATACAGAAACAATGTCTGCGGCCGACACAAAGTGATGATATCATCGAGCAGATATGAATTAATCAGGCATGCATTAATCAATATCCATGTGGACATTAATAAATTAAAACCTACCAAAAAAATATTTAATAATTTCAGTGGTATGCATGCATCAACCACCTTGCTATTTACTACCTAGCTCACATCGTCGACATCAAATTTCACATCTTCGTGTCTAAAATTGGAGACAAAGAAACACAATTTTCGGTTTAAATTTCTACTTTGAAATCCTTAAATCGGTGATTGGAAGTGGTGAGCAGCACTTGCGGATTTAGAAAATAGCTGCTGGGTAAATAAAAGGCACATATTTTGTTTCTCAAAATTGCTTCATAAAATTAAATCTGCGATGCAAGACTATAGGATAACACCTAAGCAAATAAGACAAATTAAACAAAATGACACAACAAATAATTCACTTAGACCCACGACTGTAACACGTTTAACCCACTTTAATTAAAGCCGACGGCTAACGCATTGGAGGCTATTTAATTAATGCTGCTGCTTCTGACCACACATTGTGGGGACGCGTTCGCTTGCTGCTCGCGCGCATTAACTCTCGTCTCCATGTTATCGCCTAATGTCTTTGCTAAAATGATGCACGGTGATTTCTCATGTTGCATGCCTGTTTTGATGAGTTGCCTTGAATATTCGGACATGAATTTGCAAATATATCAAACTCACCTACGACATTTGTACGTGACTGCCAAATATAATTATCAATCAACTGAACGAATAAAAAATGGGACGTCGTTAATAATTGCCTCATCAGATATTAAGGTTACGTTCCCCCATGCTATTTCCGAGTTTCATTCCGAAAAATAGATTTTTTTTCTAAATTGCTATTTTTCTAGCAATACAAAAGTTATTCGCTTTTGAATGAAATATCGACCGAAAATATCTGCGCATGTTTAGTTTATTGAATTATTACTTTACAATATTGAGTTATTGGCTGCCAGACAATAAGTCCATTCCCACGGGGTAGGCTGGTTCCCGCCCCACAAATAGTATCGACAATGTACAGACCGGGATCCAGTCTGCTCGCAAAGCGGATCTGTTTGTACACAAAACATAACAAAATTGTATTAATGCTGGTTGCAAACGTCCAAGTACAAAAAAAGGGAAAATTGGGGGGGGGTTGTTTGTTTGTTTTTTGGAATAAGAATTCAAGTTCAAAATTTATTAATAGAAAAATATCGAATTTGTTAAATATCATGCCGACATAACATTAATGTAATCGTGTGTTTCTGGTATTGAGTCCGAGAATACCTCAGCGGGATTCGAACCCGCACCAAAGAGGTACACGGAAGACAAGGAAATGTACCACTGCATCAATATGGCTCTTACGTAAAACAACAAAACATTATGGCGAATTTGAGGGGAAATGGCTATTTTGTTTTATTAAACATACAATAAAAACAATGATTCGTCTGTGATTGTCGAATCACAGCGTTAGCTTTGGTCAGTAATAATGTTTAAAATATGACGGTTAACAAACGTATAGCTTCAAAATATTTTGTTTTCAGAAAACGACGCAATAACAACGCCTATTTGAAAGCTGCCCGTTAAAAAGAAATCCTTAGCCTTTATGCCCCCTTCAGAAACACTCTCGTGCTTAAATTGTTATTCTTAAGCCGACATGTTTATTTTGAAGTCTGTGAAGGGATTACAAGTTACCAGCTTAACGCTCCTAATGAAAAAAGGGAAGAGATACATTCTGAAAAGGGGGGAATGGCATTCCAAGGTAAGACATTCGTAATAACACAGAGACGGTTAACTGCAAACAATCACCACACGCCAGCGGGCCTTGGTGGGCCCTTCTTCTCGTTTGACACACCTCAAAAGAGGGTAGATATAGAGAAAAGAAGCTGGTGTTGTCTCAAACATGGATGGCAGGCTGTCTTACCTTCCACCGAGCCCCGAGACCAAGTCACTTATCCTCCCCTGAGGTGCTGACAACCGCGCGCGCATTTGCGGGTATTCTTATTCAACGAAGCTAAACTAACATCTTGATTGTTACTCTCATGGCTTGTTGCTCTTTTACGCCATAATCCCCCTTCTCCCCTGATGGGTGCAAGATTGTAGCAACTTCTTTCTCTTTGCCAGTTCTTGTTCCTCCGAAAAGAAAAAAAGCTTTACGAATCATTTGGTGCCGAAGGGCGGAGAGGGACATCTAAAGGTGCCAGGGTATATGCACAAAGAACTACACTCTTCTTTTCACTTTGCTATACTTTTTAAATACAGCGGGACCTCTTAGTGAAAGGAACTCTATTGCGTTAAGAGTAACGGGGATACATATCCATAGCACAACCACTAAGGATATTGCCTGCGCACGGAAGGCTTAGGTACAGCAAGTTTCCCCATCTGACAAAAGTTAAATGAGCGCTGAAGGGGATCAGCCACCAGTACGTTTGGTTTATCCTGGGCGGGAGAACGGAGCGTAGCGACTTGAAGCCATCCTCGCGACTTGGCCAGGATACGTGTTAAGATGGAGAGTTGTTTCTTCTCCAGCCCGATTGAACCTACACGGAACGGTATTGATAACGTGTACCGTTCCTGGGCCGCTGGGCCGGGCGGGGATGAGCAGCGCAAAGCCGGGCTGGGCGGCTCGGTACCCCCGCTACAATCTCACGTGGAACTGGACACACGGTCCGCTGTTTCCTCCAACTACTCCTATACCTGTCCTCAACCTGTCAAGTGAGTCAAACTTTTCACATATATATTTTTCTAAAATCACACTTTAATATCAATTCACGTTGTTATGACAAACGGGCAGCTTGTAAGTTATTCATAAGATGGAATTGTTAGTTCAAATACCTAAACGAAGTTTGCTTTGACTCAGAGCAATTTTTTGCATTTTCTTTAATTAAACAACTTAATTTTACATCTTAACTGTTACATCACTGTCAGTGTCTAAGACAAACATGAAGTGAACTGAAAGAAATCTGCGCGTCGACAACAAAAGCTTCAGCAGTGCTTAAATTTAATATCTTAAGGTTTATCTTGCACCTTGCACAAAAGTGAATGCATAAAATAAGTTTGCTGTCGTTGCAGATTTTTGACAAGTTTGGCAATATTCAAAATGATTTGTTTGTATTGGAGCAATCAACAACTAAAACCATACATCTTTAGACAAAAAAACTTGTTTGAATAGTTAACAATTAGTGATGTGTTTTAGGCAAACATGGTGCGCCTCTTATACCATAGATGATTAGTACCGTACCTAATAAACTAGTTCGTCAGGTGCTCTTTTCTAAGTTTCATTCAAATTAACTAATAATTTGACGGTTTAACTGCTTTCTTTCGTTGCTTATTTCCAATTAGAAAAGAGCAACGATCCCGCGTTTGAAATAAATATCAATGAAGTATCAAATGTACATAAGTCAATATCAGCTAGGTTTTCGGGTTTCCTCATAACAATAACATCCGACAGAGCCCCGATACAAGAAGTCGGACGGACCTTACTCGCCGGGGCTGAACTTGTTGGGTTTTGCGGCATCATAATTGACTAATGCCTTAAGCTTTTTGAGGGGAGAAACCCGAGTGCGGCCCGGCCGTCTATAACCGCCCCAACAAGGCGGACCTTCCTAGGGCTTCGCTCCGGCCACGTACCGTCTGCTTACCCTGACATGTACCGCACCATCAAAGGTACCTATCCAGATTTAACCGGGACTCCAGGTCCTATTTTGGTCTGATATTTACAGTCAAAATGACATTTTTTTCGAGTCAAATTTGACCCGGTTCTGATTATAATCAGCCGTTCTTTGTTTAACAGTTCAGTTGTGTTAACACGAAACTTTGACATTGATGTAACAATGTTGTGCAGATGTAACAATGTTGTGCAGAGCTATCAAAATTTGTTTACGAATCAAAAATATTTTATTATTTATTAAAAATAATTCAGTACAGTTCACAACACAAAACGTTGACAAAGATGTCAGAAAATGTATTGCAGAGTTATCTTTTTAAAAAAAAGTTAAATATGACAGAGGCTGAAGTCGCTAGAGCAATTAAGTACAAACCCATAAAAGATTGTTGTACTGTCAAAATGTTTACAAACAAAATATGTCCATATTCATCACGATGTCGAATTCGGCGATGTAAAGGAGTGATATGCACATTAAAGTATGCATAATTTTAAAACACACAAAAGATATATAATTGAAACACAGTCCTTAAGACTCATCTAGTAGCATTGGATTACATTTCGTTCTTAGTTGATTCGGTCCGTGTGTTTTCAGCAATACTACAAGAACAATCATAACGTGATATGTTCCATTTGATTGATAACGTTTAAGATGAAGAAATAAACGCATTCATAACAGTCCACGCTTTCAAATGTTTGTTGGACTGACAGTAACTTCCAAAACGCACACAATTTATATAATTCCCTCTCAAAATCAACGGTAGCAACTACCAAATTTGAAAACGTGCTAAATTGTAAATGTAAATTAACCAACGTTGAATTTATATATGCATGTGTTTAAGTTATATTTACATGTTTCTGTATTATTATAGTTTGATCGATCTAAATTGAAAGCGTGAGTGTGTCTAAAGCAACCGGATTTCTACACTTCAGACTTTTCAAAACACAAATCTTTATTTAAAATAAACTTCACAATTCAAACATCAATCAGTAAAGTAAAATGTGGACAAGAAATACATGTATGAAAATGCAACATAATTCATACCAGAGACAGAATAATCTGAATAGGATAAATTCATTTCTAAGAAAAGGCCAAAAGAACGAGCCGGTGAAGAGAAAATCAGGAGAAAGAGGAAAGTATGTAATCTCCAAATGGATTCAGGTGCATCCACTGCGCCCAATAATGAAATTAGTTTCAGCTTTGCCTCCAAGCTAACCTATGTATCCATCTCGCCAGTAGTGCACTGTTTCTTGCAAGTGTTGAGTGCAAATGTTCCACATTGAATTTCAGATTGCAGAAATATGAAGTTAAACTTTAGAAATGAAATAATAGATTAATGTCGCAAGTTCACATTTGCTAAATGTATTCACAAAATCAATTGCCTTAGAATGCAGGAGAAAGCTTCGTAGATTTCAAAATTTTCCGGGTAGCATTCCCCGGAAAATTAGTCAATCCTCCCCTCCCCCTCTTCATATCAAACACCCCCCCCCCCCCAAGTTAGATCCCCCCCCCTGAATGACCATTCAGGTGTGCCAGTCAGTCTAGGTGTGCTACATTCCTCAAAATATTGTCGTTTTATGCTCAATTTACAGTTGGTTCAAACCCACGGTGGCAGATCACATCGTAGAAAGACGGTGGGAACCACCTGGACCAATTCCGAGGATTGTCAAAATGCATTTGGTTTAATTTGGGCCGTGGAGCGTAAAATTGGAATAAATCTTCAACTCTCTAAAAGCTTCAGACAGCGCCGCGTAACGAAATGTCAGGCTTCGACACCTGCTGTGTTTTCGTCGCATAGTTTAGAATCGTTTACAAGCCTTTCACGTCAAGACAAACCTCTTATGTTTAGCCTCGTATTAAATGATTTGATTGATTTAAAATATGGAAAAATGTGTTATACCGGAGGTCCCCCCACAAGTCGGGGGCATGAAAAATCTGCTGAAGGCGAAGCCGTTGACGGAACCGTGGTTTCACTAGCGAAAAACCAGCCACTCGCGGCATAACATTATACACAAACTGATTAACACCCAAATCCTTATCTTTCTTGGCTTCATCAGCGTCAACTGATCTCTTTTCAAATCTCAACACCCCCCCCCCCCCCCTTCTACCTTCCATCTGCCCTCTTGATTCACTTAAGGAAGCCTCGGTCACGCATGTTTTTCCAACTTTTCAAAAGGCAGCCCGGTTAAGCCCCATTACTGGACGGGGATAATTCCCTCAGCGACGGTTTTGGGGATGTGTCTCCACCTATTGTTCCCCACCGTGTTTTTCCCCGTCTGTAGATACCTTTGATTTCTTCTCAGAGAGTGTCTTGGTGTTTATCCGCCAAACAAGACGGATCTTGTACCAGTATTGTTCCCCGAGTTGTGTACCAGCACGTCTGCTTTAGTGTTGCCAATAGAACCCATACTGCCTGGCCGCGCCTGCGGGCGCTTTTTCACTTACCGGATTGATCGTCCGTGATTTGGAGCAACAAATCAAAAGAGCGGGGATTGTCTGGCCTGCCAGCGTGATTGTTGAGAGATTAGCCCTGGGAGGATGGGAGCTGCTGGACCCACGGAGGAGTCACTCGGCTCTCCGCTTCAAACTATAGCCTCGGGAAATGGCAACCTTAAGCATAATGTAATATGGGCTCTGTATTACGTATACCACATGAGGGTAAATTCTTAATTAATTTTCAATTTTGGCGTGGATCCGTATACACATTTACGCAACCTACAAGTCGAATTATTGCAAGGTTGAAACTAATTTTAAACCAAAGTTTTATCCCAAGGATTTACTGTTCCATTTCATTCACCCGGAAATAATACCCGTTATTTAAATTATCGGTTGTTAGGCAATTATTCTAAATACGTTTGGACAACTTACAAAATAAATGCTTGGAATTAATATAAGCCAGGAACACGTCATAATCTGTGTACAAGTGATGCGGGGGCTATAATAGGGGAAATAGCTTTTCATGCATTTTTACTGCATGTTCAATTTTGTGCCTATTTAGTGGTTTGCAACAAGAGGTCAAAAGCGCAGGTATGGCGGTAGGGGCAGTGAATGAATTCTACAGATTACTGCAGTAATAATTATGATTCTATTTCATGTTTATTTAGATGCCAATTTGTTTAATTTCCTCAGCAACTTGTCTCTGAGAAAAGACGAGAGCCCAAACTGTGGGGATTACTTCAGTAACAGCGGCCAGCATCTATTCGGTCTATCCCGTCCAGCCTTACCGGTCAGCAGCAAACCACCTGCCGTCCTCAGTGCCAATTTGCCCCACCAGCCAGCCAGCACATCCCCGACTCTCCACCGGCCAACCCCGGCCTCTGTACACGCCTCTGCCTTCACACAATCAGGTAAATTAATGTAGTGGGTTGTTTTGGTCTTTGGAAACTTGAAAACCGGGGCGGGCGATTTTTTACTGTGATAACTTAATTGCTCTAACTTTTGTCGTCTTTTCAACCATAGTGCCAAGGAGTCCAACAAAATGGCCGCCCCCAGGGTCCGCGATGCCGCACTACACCGGACAAGCCGAGACAGACCCAACCGCCGCCCATCGCAGCCCATGCACGGGCGAGTGGCAGTACACGGCCCATCAGACAGGCTACCCGACCTACCACCAGCTTAACTCCTCGGGATACCTTGGGGGCTACGGGGCTTCCTCAAGAGACCACTTTACCTGCTCGACGGGCACGTCTACCACTCTGGAGGAGGTTCACAGGGGACGTGAAGGCGGTGGCTGCGCGGTACGTGAACCCCGACAAAATGAAGGCAGGAAAGCCAGTCTAAGGTTTTCCCTCCATACCTCGGTTTCATCTCCAGCCTCGGTTTCATCTCAGGCCCCAGAGCCAGTTGGAAGCCTATTATATCCATACCAAATTGGTATACATTGATATACCCTAAACTTTTTTAAGCTTTAGGGAGACTCCCCAAACTAAGGGGTCTTAAATGTCCTTAAGTCAACATTGTAGACAAAGCCGACGAATTTTATTTCAATTTTTAGCAGTCTAGAGCAGCAATGGCAGTAACCATCCTTCTAGGCTTTTAAATACAAGGAAACATCAAGGGGGTCAAATGTCAGGAAAATGATATCAAAATCAATCATATACAACGGTCTTGCCAACTTCCAGTAATAGCTCGATTTGGCACTAAATATTTCGATGATTCAAACGTGGACTTTGGAAGTGTAGTTTTAACACAAAGAAAAAACACCAGCCCTGTTAGGGGCGTACATGTAATACGTGTCCAGTACAATAGCGCTAGCTGACTTGTTGAGTGCTGGCGAAGTTATCAGGAGGGCGCCATCTGGTTGAGGGTAAACATTTTTTCCCCAAATTTACTTAAATCAAACAGCGCCCTCTAACTACGTCCGCCCAAAAAGCCCAATAGGCTACTGGTAAATTATGATAGAACATTACAGCCTGATTGCACTTCTTCCTTTCCCAAACAGATGTCGACTTCACCGTGCACTGCGTGCGGTGACATCCTCTGCCCCAAGTCTCACCATATCTACCCTACGGATCTGAGTGCCCCATGCCCCCGTTCACCTACCCAGTCCGCAGTGACCATCCGCCCCTGCTCCAGCATGAGTTTTCCGTCCTACGCTACCGCCCCGCCTCCCCCAGCCATAGGCGCTGCTGACAGTGACGCCTTGATGCGCTACCGCTGGCCAGCCACGGCGCCTGTGTACTTCTACAGCAAATTGGTGTCTGCGGGAAAGCCGGACGGGATAGGTAGTGTAGGCGTAGGCGCCGGTGTAGGTGTCAATACAACACCTTCAGGCTCTACATCAGGGACTGGTGACAGGGTGTCCAAGACAACGAAGCAATCTGCTAACTATCGTAGTAAAGGTGCGCTTAAAAGTGTAGGCCTACATGACACCTCCAATGCAGAGGAAGTTTTTGGAACACTGAGTTGTTGAAATTCAAATTATAAAGGTTCCATAAATAGTTTTGGGGATATTTGGCCCAGGAAAAACATTTCCAAAATGTGCACAAGAGAGATAATGATCACTATTATAGGTTTCGTCTTTGCCTCATTTCGTAAGCGCTGTCCAAGAAAGAAACAACAAAGTTATTCGAACGTCGGGAATAGAAACCATCATTTACTCAAACAAGGACATGTCATGAACCCAAAATGGGGAACTTATTCAGCCGTGATGTATTTCATAGTAAAGCAGTTTTTCTTCGTTGTGAGTTTTATTCTTACTGTAACCTTGCAGGGACCAACCTATGCAATATATGCGGCAAATCTTACGCCCGTCCGAGCACCTTGAAGACGCACCTACGCACCCATTCCGGGGAGAAACCCTACCGATGTCCGACTTGCAACAAGGCTTTCTCACAGACCGCTAACCTAACGGCACACATGCGGACACACAGCGGTGAAAAGCCCTTCCAGTGTGCCGTCTGCCACCGGCAATTCTCACAGGTAGGCCCGCCTTTATGTCCCGTATTAACCCTGGCCCAAATTCACAGTACTGAGTTAGAAGTTTGCCAAGCACAGGAAATATTAACTTAGAAAGTAATGTGTGATTCTTTCTTTTTTTAGAGCTCATCCGTTACCACGCACATGCGGACTCACTCCGGAGAGCGTCCGTACCGCTGCGCTTACTGCAAGAAGGCGTTTGCGGACAGCTCAACGCTGACCAAGCATCTGCGGATACACAGCGGAGAGAAGCCGTACCAGTGCAGCATGTGTCTTTTGCGATTCTCGCAATCCGGAAACCTGACGCGACACATGAAGATTCACCAACATATATGACGGAGTCTGTGAAGGTTTCTAAAACATGGTGTGCCTCCAGCTTCGGCTACTGGTGCTACTATACCAAGACGTGGGGGATGAAGGGCAACTTTCTCTTTCAGAAACATCAAGGCGGTTCATTTGAGGCTAACATTTAAGTTCTTAAATTTGGTCATGCCGAACGTGGAGGCCGTTGGGGGCGCTACACTAACAATCCCATTATCATTTGACAATGAGAGAGTAACATCACTGGTTCCCCGCACTCCATATTCTGTCTAAATTCAAGCGATATGTTTACCAGGGAAGACACAACGATATACTGCTGGTTTGTGTCATAGTATTGAGTGAACAGTATGTGCATATTTACATCCACGCTATGGTGCTTGGCACCCTTTTAAAACCACTAACCATTTAAAATGTAATTGAAGACAATCAAGTCGAACAACTGTATTAACCTAATTTTAATGACAATAATCATTTATTTATTTACAATGTACTTACTTATGCGATGACAATCTAATTATGAAGAAAAAAAGCAATACTCTTATGATAATTAGAACTTTATTTGTGACGTGTTTACTCAAAACCAGACGCTTACGAGCAGAGCTTGAATCGGGAATACGACCAATTGGACAAGGAAACGTGGTGAAGTGTTGTTTTCTGACTTTTTTATGTAATAATATTTCAACATTTCAGAACGCATTTTTAGATGATTTTCCTATAAAGGAGTATCTTCATAATTTCGACAAGAAAGTCGTTAACATCCGTCGATTTTCAACAGCATATTAAGTTGCCAAAGAAAATTCCATTTTAAAGAATTAAGCAGCCATTCCAAAGGGGAACCATATATTAAAAAAGAGCGAAAAAAATTCCAGCACGTTTCAAGAAGAGTCTGATTTTGATAGAAGACATCACATTGTGTATACAATGATGAACAAATCAATTAATGTTCAACGACCGCTAAACAGTACATTCCTTCTTCAATGCCAACACGATTCACCTCATCTTAATAATGTTCTTACTGATATAAAATATCACTTATTGAGTAAATATCTTATATGATACAGTTTTAGTAACTATTATATAATTCGAAATAAACGAACGCTTATCTATTTTCTTTTGATATAAAGTTTTATAGAATAATGTTCAAAGGGGCGTGGCTAAGGTGTTGCAGTCAATGCATAATAAAACCAGAGGCCTGAAACAATAGGGAGCTTAAAGTATAAAGCACATTTGCTGTAATTTTCAAGAAATGGATGGATTTGGAGATTAGTACAGTTTTTGTATTTTAAAGCAAATATTTTCCCACCGCGTCAGGGTTTGTCAGGTCGTTCACGGATGTGTAACCGATTGCAAACAAAATGTGGACTCACTAGATTCGGTCAATTGGGGGCAGTATATGAAACAAAACTGATTTTTTTTTCTCCGATGATGGTTTGGCTGAACCATCATTGGAAAGTGATACAACATTCCACTTTTCTTGAAAATGACAGCATACCAGACTCAACGATTTGACAGGATGCTTGAGACTATTATTTACATACAGTCAAGTGGAAATATTTCATAATAATCTGGTGGACTCGTTTCGTTTTTAATATTAGAAAAAATTATACATTACCTTCTAGAAAATGGGGAATTGTTTTCCATTATGTAAATATTAGCATTGGTCATCGGGGTGCTTTCCACACCACCCATTGGATCGTCTTTAGATCTGGATTTGAAGTGTTGGGAGAGTGCTTTGAGGTGCAAATCGCGTTAGTCTGTGAGATATTACAAAGACGGCAACTGACGTGTAGGCCTATAGTTAGTAACAAATGTAGGCGTTTGAATTGGTGCCCGACGATCGAAAACATGTCTGCGAATCAGGGCAAGGGTTTGGATCGCAGGGGTTGTTCATCTCTTCAACTAAAACAAAAGAAAACAAATGGAACACCTGTGACTTACAGTCATTTATTTCATTAATTAATGCAACTATAGCCTCCCGATGCGAAGACAAGGAAACAAAGAACACTCCATTGATCACCGAGGGAGACCGAGTCTATATATACCACGAGTTACAGCAGTCAATATTTCCTTTTTCACAACGCCGCACCGACGTATTGTGCTTATGTTGCAGATACCTGATTTATTTAACCAAAATCCACTTAAAATGTCCTTCTGAAATTAGTTGAAAATTTACTAACACTTTTCCAAACTACCCCTTGAAATGTATAAGCCCATTCCGTAGCTCTTTGGAACATGACAAGATAGCAAAACAAAATAGCGAATACCACGTGGCGAACCTTCGGCCAATCAAAAGTCATATGGGTCGGGTGCTAGTCAAATAATGGAGAGAATCGATGGTGGAGGTCGAGGAATTGAACCTATCATAGCGCCCTCTTCAGATCAGAATCTCTACAAATGATCCTTTATACTTACTGCGTGTCTCACAATTGCGACCAGTGAACTCAGCTGGGCAGAAACAGTAGTACGTGTTGTCTGATTGGGAGTCGGCACACGCTGCACCATTTTCACATGGCTCGTCGGCACACTTAGTTTTAACTGCAGTTCAATGAACAAAGAAACAATAAAGGTCAATCAGTCAGCAAAATAACGGCGATAAATTGATCGATCTGACAGCCGGCCATGTACAAGCAATCAAACCTGCTAGCCACGAAGTCAGTCAGTCATCCATCTACATGTAGTCAGTCAGCCTGTAAGCCACCCGTTTGACCAGCCAGCTCGTCAGCTCAGCTCAGCAATCAAACCGACCAGTCAGCCAAGCCTTTCGGCCTGCCTGTCAGCAAGGCACAAGCCAGCCAGTCCGTCAACCAGTAAGATAGCCAGCCACTGCAGCCTGCAAACCAGTCAACCAGCCAGTCAACCAGCCAGCCAGCCAGCCAATCAGTCAACCAGCCAACCAGTCATAACCAGCCAGCCTACCAACCAGCCAGTCAACCAGGCAGCCAACAAACAAGCCAATCAGCCAGCCAACTAACCAATCAGTCAATCAGCCAACCAGTCAACCAGCCAGCAACAAACAAGCCAATCAGCCAGCCAACTAACCAATCAGTCAATCAGCCAACCAATCAACCAGCCAGCAACAAACAGGCCAGTCAGCCAGCCAACTAACCAATCAGTCAATCAGCCAACCAGTCAACCAGCCAGCAACAAACAAGCCAATCAGCCAGCCAACTAACCAATCAGTCAATCAGCCAACCAGTCAACCAGCCAGCAACAAACAAGCCAATCAGCCAGCCAACTAACCAATCAGTCAATCAGCCAACCAGTCAACCAGCCAGCAACAAACAAGCCAATCAGCCAGCCAACTAACCAGTCAACCAGTCAGCGAGCCAACCAACAGGGGAGCAAGACAGCCAGCCAACCAGCCGGGGAGCCAGCCAACCAGTCAACCAGCCATCCAGCCAACAAACAAACCAGCGAGCCAAACAGCCAGCTAACCAGCCAGCCAGCCAATAAACCAGCCAGTCGGCCGGGGAGTCAGTCAACCAGCCAGTCGGCCAACTAGTCACTTATAAACAGTCACACTCTAAAAAAAAAAGTTTAGCGATTAAACACAATCTTGCTATCACTTTGGAAACATGTTTAGTTTAAAACGTTACTCGTCTAAATTCCTAAACACCAATGTTAAAATTGCTAAACACTGTCCACCATTACGCTAAATATGTTTAGTATTTAAACATGTTTACAAACTGACAGCAGGAAAGTGTTTAGAAAAGTGTTTAATTGCTAAACAACTTTTGCAGTGCACTCCGCTCACTTCGTCTCTCATCCCGTCCTTTGTACAAGCCTTAGATTCAAAAAGAAAGTGAATTTGTTAATCAACTTTTAAAAAGCTATACGTACGGGAGTGGATGCCAGACAACCCAGGCAGCAAAACCCACAGTGCTATGGCGGTTGAAAACTTCATCCCGTCGGATTAATGTCAGACAACTCCCCCTTAGGCTAAAGGAGTCTGCTTTCTCCGGTAATCGTCCCAGATTGCTAAACTCAAAGATTTGAGTCTGTCTCTTCTCAATCGGACTCGTGGATCGTTATCTTTAGACAAAAACCTCGTGCAGAAGAACTTGGAGGAGAGTGGTCTTTCGTACTACGAGAGAAGTAAGGGCGAAGGCTTTTTGTAGTGGTCAACGAGACCCGTGTAAAAATAGTCCAATTCTAAGATTCAGGCAATTCTAAAGATTCAGACCTTCACACAGCCAGAACATCTGTTCAAGTCTTCAGTCAATTACCTAGCAATTGGCCACCTGCCGAGAGCCTTTTAGACTTGGCCCAGTGTGAGCAGCTGATTTCCCAAACGTAACAAGTTGCGCGCAATATTTAGGTATCTTTAAACTTCAGAGGGGAGGTTCACTAGTTAATAGGTACAAGGGCAGGCGATAACACTGGACTACGGTGCAATGGTCCGAGGAAGGTGGACAGGGCTTGTCTTACGGCTTACACTTTGTCCATTTCGCACCCTGTGTTACCCATTGGCAACCTATGACGTAGTCAAGAGGACAAGGAGCTCAACCTCGTGCCCCTAAGATCCCGGCCCTCCCCCCTCAAAAATGGAAACCTCTCAAATATACGAAGAAAATGTATTTGCGCTAGCACCGAGGAGTATAAGGACCTACACGGGGTAGTTAGTGCACCCCTTTGTCTTCTTTGGAAAAAGAAACTCGTAGATACGCAACTGCCGAGCTAGTTACTGTGGAAGATGAAGGGGTGGAAGTCGCGTGCAAGTGCAATAATGGGAAACTTTGTTGGGGCAAAAGTACTCCCAGTTTAAGTTCCGCCGCCGACACATCGGATGTACTGGGTTTAGTCTACTGATTCAGCAGTCGCATAAACAGAATCCAAGTTCAAGGGTGATCATCGGCAAACGTGTTTATCTCGGTCAAGTAGATTGAGTTAGCGATTCGTACTGGAACGGATGTGCCGCGGGGAGGTCGGTCGCCTGCCCCGGGGGATATGGAGAGCATTTCCATGTGATACGAAAGAATTGCAGTTCGCCCACCCCTTTTGCCCACACAATCTTTTTGATGACTTAATGGACATGAAACTTTCAAGCTGTGGCCTTGTTGTCGGGTCCGTAATTGGTCGTGAGTTCGAGTCTAGCCTGTGGGGTTGCAGCGCGTATACGTGTCCTTTGGCAAGACACTTTGTCACAATTTGCTATTCTAACAACACTACAGTGAACTTTGTATCTGTGAGGGTAAAGATGGTTAGTTTGGTTGATTTAGCGTTTGTGGTCGCATGGAGCTGCATACTTCCCAAGGTGTTAAGAGTGTTGCCAGTGAGGGCCAATTTTTGTAACTAAAAAAATCATTATTTAGACCCAATTTGACATAAACGGGAATTTAAAAGAAAAAAACGAGACTTTAAAATAGCTTTCAGAAGCCTGGTGTAGATGGGAAAATGTGTTTTCATGCGGAAGATCGTCGTCAAACTTCACACACGCTTAAGTGATCGCCGCAATTCCAAGTATTAAAATCCAAAATGATCTTCAGGGGGAAAGGAAATTAATATAGAACATGATTCAGAGAAATTTAAGTTTCCATATTTAGGTCACATGTGCATATTGCTGTTATAAAAATGTCTAGCTAAACATGTTTTTTTTTAGAATCTGTCAAGACATGACACACTAGGCCATATTTCACCGAATAATGATTTCAAGACACTTTTATTTTTAGTCGTCCGAGGCATACCACGTCACATGTTTATGTGGAAAACAAGAGCACGAATAATTGCAGTCAAAAGTTCGGTCAGTAACGAAGAAGTGACCAAAAATAAAACAATAATTTACTATACTATTCATCCCGCTAACGTTATATGGAATACTGTCACTGCATATTGGGCGAAATCTTGCATTTTTGGATCCGAATGGCCAGCTTCGTTATAAGACATGGTATCTTCTTTAATGGGGATAGTTCTTAAGAGTATAGGAATTGCAAACTCTGGAAGGTAAAAGCTGGCATGACATTGTTGTCCTGTATGTCTGAGGACTAGGAACACTAGCTTATGCTATAACTATAACACAGAGAACCTGAGCCCAGGTCCTCGGAAGAGTTTAGTGTGCAAACATAATGGGACATGTTGAAAAAATCCAAATAATTGGGAAAAAAAGAAGGCAACAATAAGGGTCTTCATTAGCAAATAAGTACCGCCTGTGTGAAAGGCTAGTGTTGCATGAGAGTCGTATTCAGTTTCACACGCAGATGTAGCCGAGTTGTAGCGCCACACACGTCTGTTCCGCTAAACAGACAGCGTCATCGCATGGACTGGCATCCGTGGTTGCTGTCAAATAAAAGTCAGAAAAGTGCAACTATTATTATTTCTTATTTTGAACAACTGAATGTACGAATCGAACATTGTGTTGTGGGAAACAAGTTTCTGTAATTCTTAGCCATTGTCTACCTTATGTCATATTAAAGGTGTCGCGGGGTGGGGGCGGGGTGAGCTCCCCCCACCCCCGGCTCGTCGAAAAAATTGCATGGTCTGTGAGTGCTCTCCCCCCCCCCCCCTCTCTTCCCCCTCCCCCGGCTTATAATCTAAATTATTTACGACGGACACACTTTCCGGAGAAAGTGGTCCGGCTCCAGTTTGTACATAAACTCCCCAACGCCGGGTTTTGTTTACGTAAAAGTTGGAAGGATGTTTGGTTATAGCTTTGTAACGTTCCTGGACCAATTGTTTCACGGAAGTACGTTTCCAACGCAAGGTGCTGAAAATCGAAATAAAAATATGGGTGACGTGCTGAACTCACATTCGCAGAAGACACCTGTGAATCCCGTTACGCATGTGCAAAGGGCGCCCCCTTGGTACTCCTGACAATACCCGTGGTTCTTGCATGGGTTTGGCTCACACGGACCTACCGATTGTAAAAATACGAATATCATTGTTAGAGTTTACGAATAAAAATGAAAGTTTAAAAAAATAACCAGTTCTTCAATCTTACGTTTGTTTCATTCAAGTTTTCAAAACTCAGTTTCGTGTCCAACTTTGTCGATGTTAGGAGGTATTCTTTTTTAGCACCTGTCTTTGGAGACTTCGGTGCAGGAGCATTTGAATATGACAGTATTGTCAATGACTGTGGATCCAGCGACGGAGCCGAAGCCAGCATATGACGGCGAGGTTTAGAAACCCTTCAGTTTGTTGCAAGAACCCCCTCTATTCATAAGATGGAATTTGCGTCGGGGTGACAAACACGCGTAATTCTTTTCAATATTTTTTCAAGCAACGTGAGGTACAGGATAATCCTCAGAAACATATGACAAGGGAGTGTGTACAAAATACTCTTTTCCATTGACAGAACATTGATGTCAAGCACTTTCTTGAGAAACAAAAACCGAAATAATATTAGGAGTGCTTACTGTTTATCTGCGTTGGTACAGGTAGATGGCATCTGTTGCCCATGTAGCCTCTGTAGCAGTTACAGTAGGCAGTCGAACGGTAGAGGTAGCAATAACCATTCACGCAGCTCTCATTGGGACTGTTATCCAGACAGAAGCAAAGGCTACAGGCAACTGCAAATGATTTGGGGAAATTCATTACATTATTATGTAGAAAAAAATTAAAGATGAAAATGAATAAAACTGCCCCAAATTGCTTACTGACTTGATTGACCTGAAATATACAAATCAACACCATTAGAGGGCCTAACGTTTTGGTCCTTAGTAGGACCTTCACAAAGTCCCTGCACGCCTGTGTGTCCCTTACTTGTTCGTTTCCGTACCACTGTTCTTTTGCCTTTGAGAAAAGCCCTGCTTATAGGACCGAAAAGGTAGGCCTACTAATTTTGTTAAAATATTTAACAGATTACATTGAATGATTGATTGTATTGCATGCTGAAATATACTTTCTGAAAGGTTTGTGTTGAATACCAATATGGCAAAATGCAGTGTCGGATCCAGGATTTTCTAAAAAGTGTGGCAAAGGTGTTGGATCATTCAACATTTGTCAAGGGGGAAGGATGGATGAGACGTTGCAATCGACGCATAAGATAAGACATTTGAAACGATCAATCAAGATTCGCTATATTGAGCAGTATATAACGTTCTCCAGAGAACTTAAGGACTTGGGGATATTTTTATCTTTATTTAAACAGTAAACATCGGTCAGCCGGGGAGGTTAGCCATCCCAACCAACCTCTCTTATCACATTATACATTTTATGAAATCAAATCTCTTGTTCTTTGGTTCGTATGATTTTACAACATGAAAGTTCCGTTTTGAATCCACAGTATGTTTTTCTATTCGCCAAACCAAAGCTGAAACGCATTGAGTATACTCGCATGAAGCCAATAGACCTAAGACAGAATGACGTCACGCTTTGTTTACATGTGTGCTTTCCTATGGGAGCCAGGTGGGGACGAGAGCCACCCCATAAGAAGGCGCACAGGTAAACAAAGCGTGACGTCATTATGTCTTCGGTCTATTCCATCTTGCTAACATCCCAAGTTTTGCAGACCTATATGATTCACTTCTACTTACCAGCCTCGTTTCCAGTCAACATTACAACCGTTGTCAAGAGTGCGGCTAGGCAATGCTTTGCTGTTATCCTCATCATGTCGAATGAAAGTAGATTCTGCAACACAAAACCCCAAAATGTAATGCCATTTATTGCATTGGAGAAGAAAGGCTGTCATTTTTGTTTCAAGGCGTATATGATCATTTGCATTTCTCTCAAAAGTAACCGATTGAATTACCATCAAAAAGGGTACTTGGATTTATGATCGTACCTGTGTTAAACACCATGTGAAATTATTAAGTCTGGCTTGCAGTCATTTAGAAGAAATTAAGAAACGTGATTTTCAACGCTCGGTCAATTTAATTGGAAATAGTGAGTGCTATGGACGTAATCGTGTTACGTGATCAAAATGATGTTGTGAATGGTTTGTTTTCTCAAAAAGTGTAATATCCACTGAGCTGAAACTTCAACAGGTGGGGTTAGTACGGGGTTGCACCGTTAGCGCGATGCGGAGTGCAATTAGCCCTTTGAGATATAAAGGTGGCCACAATAGGAAGGCGCTGTTTGGTTTGGGTAAATATAGAACAGTTTACCCAAATCAAACTGCGCCGTCCTATTGAGTCTGCCATATTATCTCAAATAGGCTATTGTACCTTGCCATTTCATTTCTTTTCTTTTTAAGTACAGATACAGAGTCTTGCAATTCACCCAGTGACGAAACTAGGGTCCGATTTACAGGGGAAAAGGGCACAATTAAAAGCTTAGTTTTCTTGAAAACTCGTCGAGCACAAGAGCACCCCTCCCACCCCCCACCCACTCCCATCCGTTACGCCACTATTTTCACCTAAGACGAAATCATGGGATTTGCAGTAAACTGAATGTATTTTTGAAAAGCTCAAAAGCCAGTACTACAGGCATCTTACCTTGGATAGTGGTAGTCCTACGCTGCGTGCAACTGATGCGCGCATGGAGCTCGGTGAATCGGGCAACTGTACACTCTGCGTTGGATCTCGACAAGAGCTTCCGTTACGAAATGTGGACAAGTGCCCACACACATTTATTCACTCGGTGTAAATTTCATGACCATAATCATATGATTTTAAGCATATGTCTTTCTCTCTTTCTCTGTTCTGCTTTCATGTCCTAGAGAGTACCGTATGCTGCACTTCAAAAATCTCCTTCTGAATTTCCCTTTTTTTAACTATTACGAGCGGTAGGCTAACACCATATGTTGACAGCTCCAATAAGCCTTGAAATATACAAATAGGCGTTTTCTGTGTTCGTACTGTGATAGCATGCCAATGTACAATTGTTGAGTGCATCCTCATGTATGTAACAGGCCCATTAATTCCGAAGAATTGCAAAACGAAGGACTTCTAAAACAAACAATATTGTAGAAGTCTTTAATTAGTTCTTATAAAAGGAACCCCTATAACTGGTACTAAATACAACAAAGAAACTGACACGGTAGTCAAATGAATCACTACAATGAATTTTCAATATTTATTTAGATCCCACAAAGAATTACACTGTAAAAACCGTGTTTAGAGTTTGGACACGTTTCTAAACACTTTGTACCAATTTGTTCTCGTGTTTGAATCTACGACATGTTTAGATTAATGGATGTTTGTGACATGTTTATGCATCGTACAGAAGCCCATTAGTACCATCTGGTATAAATTGTAAATGCAAATAAGAGTGATGTATCGAGTTGAAGGCAAATGACAGGCTGAATACCCACTTTTATCACACGTTCATTAACAACTGTCTCGGAACACACAAACATTACTGTGCAATATTGTTTTTACTTTTGTATATTTTATTATTAATGGCACTATCAGGCTTTCATACTGTGCAAATTCCTGAACATTTCTTAGACTAAACATGTAAAAAAAAAACCGAGTGAGTATGTGATTAAACTCTGAGCACAATTTTTTCATGTACAAACAAAAATACGTGCATCAAAGAATTGTCGTGCACTTGACGAGGGCAAATATGTTTGGACCCCACAATGTCGTGGAACAGCGCCCTCATTCGCTCAACTATGGCCAGTTTCCCCTGGACTCACCCGAGAGGGTTTTGTTTAAGAACTGCAGTAGTGGCCACCGCCTTGAAACCATACACACTGCCTCCCTGGGCAAGGATCGGCCACCTGAGCCGCCAGCTCACACGGATTCAGAGTGGTAGTTTCTGGAGGACAAAAAAAACATTCAGATGTCATCCATTTTACCGGTTATTTTGTTCATAAACAGCTTCTTAAACTCAGTATATTTCAACCATTGTTCGCAACAGATTTTGCCAATGGTGCATTCGGTAATATCATGTACATTTTCTAGTAGTAGTGTCCTCCTATGTTAACGTTTAACTGGTAGTTACATGACTTCAGTAAAAATGACATGGTCAAAATGTCACGCAAATAACTTGTCGGTCTTGCTCCCTGCATTGAGTGGTCAGGGGTCAAGTGATCGATCAGTCAAACGATTAATTGAACAAGTAATCGATACCACATGGTATTCATTTGACTTCATAGTCAGGAGTTCGTATGTCGCAAAACTTTCCAAAACATGCGAACAATTATGCGTCATACGAAAAAAAATCATCGATTAATCAATCAAGCAAATAAATGACCAATCCATCGATTAATTTACCAATAAGCTGATCGATTAATGGACAGATCGATTGATCATGATTGCCCGATAATTTATCAATCAATCGATTTTTTTTAAATTGATAATTCTAGATTTTATGAAAGCATCAATCGATTCATCGATAGATGGATCGATTGATCTATTCATCAATCAATCGATTATTGTTTCATGGTTAATATGTCAGAAGCAACAGGGTACATACCTACGCAATTGGTACCAGTGAAAAACGCCATGCAGGTGCAGATGTACCCGTCATCATGAGGATTGCAGTGTCCACTGTTTTGACAAGGGTTGGGGTCACAGGGCGCTGGAGTGAGAGAACATAACGAACATTACACAGTCTCTACGGTTAGCCGCCAAACCGGAAATGAACGATGTGGGTATAGGTCGCTGTGCATTGTGGGTCTTTTTTAAGCAATGCAATCATTCCGAGAATGCTAGTGCTATCGCTGTGCATAGAGCAAGCACCGTGCCAGCTTTGTACAAAGCAACCGCCCCATGACGAAAGCTGACACGAGGCTTTCGCCGGCGAATTCAAAGGTGTCTCCCCGTGAATATGCAGAGACAGCGTTCACTGAATGGACCTTTTTTACTGATAGATTCACAATTATGCACGCATGCGCATTAATGGGCCTGGAGGCAAAGACGAAAGCGGTCCATTAAAAATGTACAGAGTTACAAACAGTCGGGTCATTTTCTCTCAATTTCTCCAGGATTTGTCGCTTTTTTTCTTTAGAAAAGCCTCTTAGATTGGGCACGAGGTAGAAGGAAATCAGCAGGGCTCCTTGCCGCACGCATGCACGAGTATTAAACTATGTGCTTCAGGGTACCATCGACAACATTTAAAATTAAAATAAAACAAACCCAATTTTTTTGGGGGGGGGGGTTAAGTGACGTCGCAATAAATGCAGGCACTGTGTACAGCACCATCTTTTCCTTTAACAAAAATGCATGGTTAAAATGGTCAGAAATTGCCTCAGATCGCACGACAGACCATTTATAATCCAAAAGAAACTGGATTTTTTGGACCAACTTTTTGGGGACCACATTTTTCCTGGGCCCCCCAAAAATGTGTTCTCGATCCGCCCTTGACGTTGATGTGCATTGATCGAAACAAAACCGCTGTTTCGAAAACCGTCGTCAAGAGTGCATTTCATGACCACGGCATGGCATTTGGTCAATATTTTATTTAGGTCATTGTTTGGGTCAATCATCGGGACAGACAGACATACTGACCGACCGACCGACCTCAAAGTGACATGTAGAAGCCCCTGCCATCCCAAGAGCTTAAAAAGACAACTAGCTCCAACCGCCCCTGTGTTACTTACATGAAACGATGGGTATCTGGTTTGGGTCAAGTTCGTTGCAGAGAGTCCCCCTCCATCCTGCATCACAGTAACACACTGCTGTACCGAATGATACCGCACAGTAACCATGGTCTCCGCAATTTAGACAGCTACCGCAAACATCACATGCTGCTGCAGCTGTGTCTAAAATGAAAACAAAAATGTATTATAACAAAATGATTTAAAAAAAAAAAGGTTTAAAAAGGAGTATCGAAAAAGACGAAAAGGAGCAGCGATTTTTTTTCTTTACACAACAGTTTTAGGTACTCAGTTCAACCAGACACTTATCGCAGGCCGGTGTAGCGAGAATTTACGACATCAATGCGGACCATTGGTAGTATTGCACATGCCTAAGTGAAGATAAGCAGAGTGACCGGTCACGTGAGAGGGTTTAATAGAGAATAGAGTAAAGGAGTCCAGATTTCGTATCGGAGTCCGATATATATATGAAAATCGGCCCACTTTAATGTCAAATTCCGTATAGGTTCCATGGAATGTTGTGTTGCAAGGAAAACATTTGAGTGAGCCAGCCCCCCCCCCCCCCCCAAAAAAAACAGACTCAGTCACTGCAATCTGCTTTGGTGTCCAAGCTCTGTATACCCAACCGATCGGTTAACTTTGCCTTGGAAAATTAAACTTTCCATGAAAGTCCGGCCAGTTATTAGTTCTCAAAAATCAAGTCTCAAAAATATACTCACTGTATTGAAGAATAGCCGCAGCCGACACGAGGACCAAAACCGCAGAGAGAACCTTCATGGTGGAATCTGGTAAAAGAATCCAGAAAGAAAAATGAAATCTCAGGGCAAAAAGTTGAGTTTTAAAAAAGCTACATTTGACTGTGAACATTCTTAAAGACACTAAGTCCAGAGAATGAAAACAAACTTATTAGTTGGCGCACTCTGCAGGTGATAAAATGTACCGTATTGAGAGATCGAAAGTTATCTTTTTTATCCTATTCCTATAAATTGCGAATTGTCATTCTACACGGCTACCAATTGCCAGTTCATTCCCAGGTCTTCTCGGAAGTTTGAAAGATGTCTTAAAAAGCCACGCATAGTCTGCAGGAAAGGCTACCGGTGACATTTCAAGTTAGAATTCAACAAAAGAAACGGTTCTTACCGGATTTATACAGCTCTTGGTCTATATTCTTGAGGTTGTCGCTTTTCCCCAAACTGACTCAACATGACGAAAACCTGGCCTTTTATTGACAATCCTTGGCCAGGAAAAGGGTCTACGTGACCTGCTAGAATGGACTTGAACAAGTGGACCGGATTCTCTAACTTCCTGATGACAACCTCGACCCGCAGCAAGTACATTGACTTAAAATGAGATTTAACAGACCAATCGAAAGTTACGTTAGATAGGTGCACATCAGAATGTCCAATCAAATGTGGCAGTATTTCCTCGGGATATGACCTCAATTCAGGCTGACCAATCACAGCACAGCTTTGTGATTTGTTTTCCCATAGGTTCAGGCAAGGCCATCTTGTGCCTTTTCCTGTTTCAAGCACGTGAGGCGTCCAGAAATACGCCCACGCTATACGATGTTGTCAGACAGGCGCGGTTCTAGAACCAATATTGGGGGGGGGGGCTAGCACGGTGGATCCAGAAGGCTCATGCCATATTTTCAATGGGGAGCGCCAATAAAATCCTAAAATCATTCACAATATATTAACTAATGCACCCTTGTCACGGCTATTTCTTCTTTAGGGGGAGACTGTTCGCATGTACATCACAATCCTTCTTTTTGCTAATGCAATTTTTTTTTTTTTACGGAATTTATTTTTGGGGGGCTAGACAAAATTTTGGGGGGCTACAGCCCCCCCCCCCTAGAACCGCGCCTGTATATAATGTCAGACAACAGAACTGTTGGACGGGAAGTTCAAGTCACACCGAGAACAAAAAGACGCATGGGGGCACAGGCCCCCTATTCCAGGCATGTATGTTCCCTATTCCAGGGCGACCCCACCCATTTGTGCCGAGGGAACATTACTGAGAAGAAGAAATAAGTTTGCCTATATAGTTTGAACAAAACTAAACCCATTTGTGTCCCAAACCGAACAGTTTATCACCAGAGCTATCTTTGTGTGAAATGCCTCCTGAGAGAAACGCCTCCAATGCAAATCCAACTGTGCTTCTGCGAACATGACATCGGTGTTCCACTATTAGCATTCATGATATTAAGAAGTTAATGATGATGTTTTCTCAAAATGTTATAATGATGTTAAGACACTGTTGATTTCTTGTTTGTCGATGTCTATTTTATGCAACAACAACAAAGAAAGCGCAACAACCTCTGCACTTAACCGCCACAACCCCCCCCCCCCCCCCCCGCGTTAGATAGCGGAAAAAGGCTTTGCATGTGTTTTGGGGTATTGTCTCTTTTTCGTTACCTTGACAACAAATAAACTTGACCTAGACTGTTCCGTTCCTGTGTCATGCTTTCCTCGTCCGCTTTACCTTGTGAAAGTCCTCCAAACTTGCCTAGCGACGGTTCTCAGTGCAAGAAATTCCATAGTTTGGTGCAGTAAAGTTAATTGTTTTCAACCCAAGTTAAAACTTATATTATTTCTCATCGAAAGGGAAATAGATAAGCGAAATGCCTAATCTTTGTTTCATTACGGACTTTTGAGATAAATTTTGAAGAAAACCACAAGGTACAGGAACCATAAAGGCTCAAATATATAAACCTAAAACCAAAACCTAAAATTAGTGTGAAATCTGCATAGTGAAAAACAAATACAGTGTAGGCCTAGCACAAAAGAGGGCCTTGTTAAATGATTCGGCGGGTTTTTCGTTTTATCAAAAAACTGTAAAACGTTATGACATGTGACCTCGTCTAACGTAAACAGCGCCTTCTTATGCCTGGCCGATAGGCAGGAATAGCGTGTACATCCATTGCAGTCGATAAAAGCTGCGCATTACTTTGATATTCCAAATCACAGCCATTGATGTAAACCGAATTGCCAAAAGTTGGATCAAAGAAATTCCAGTATTTCTAGATCACAGGCGGTGCTTCCACGATGGCCCAGTTTCACAAGGACGGTGCATGCTAATGCTCGCATTTACCGGATATTTCCGTGACACGACGATGATCCTCGACCTCGGAGGACAGGAATTACGTCCTTCATTCGACAGGAAGAAACAGTTTGGAAGTGCATGCAATGCCCCCATCGTGTTTACATACAAGGTGATTAAAAAAAACCTTTGTTTTAATTATTGCCAAAATTAACACGACCGCTACCAAGCTTGACTTTTAAGGGGCGCAGCTAGGGGCTTCAGATACGTCCCACGCGTCGCCAGCTGCGGGTATTAGAGGGGGTAAGGGGGCCAGCTAGGGGGCACTGTACCAGCTTAGGGGCACACCCCAAGAAAAAAAAAACACCTTGTAGTTGGGAGGGGCAGTTGCTCGCCGGAGTGGGCCCTTGGCGAAGGGCCTGTGGTTTTAGTCCAAAACCTACAAAATGCGGAACCGTAATTTCCCGTAACCCAAGAAACTAGGACACTAGTGAAGTCACGGCATCATACATATACTTATAGACAAATCGAGAATGTTCAGTTTTATAGACAGAAACTGGTCCTTTAAAAATACTATCTAATAAAAACAGACAAGTGTTGTTTTAACAGTTGATTGTTTAAATGTACATTTTTATTGGAAACTGCACACGGGTTTCGTTAACCAAAGAGTAGGGGTAATTTTTGTTCAAAATAATGGATCATACCTAGTACTGGATAAGGGAAACTTTCATCTTAAAATATTGCATCCAAAGGCAGTCATATCCAGAAATATGTTGTCAGCAAATTTAAATGTTATTTATTTTTTTTTCCAGTTTAGCCTTTTCTTATAAGAAACAAAGTATATATTTACAAATCAAGTGAATTTTTGCTGTATTAAAAAAAGAGATTTCATTATTCCAAAAACTACTTCGACATTCAAAAGATTTTTTTCAACTCGCATTCACACTTAAAGATAAACCATTCTTTGAGTATATTCCATTCATCCGTTTTGCAAATGAGCTAATAATTCTTTTGTAATGCCAATCAGAATTTTGAAAACGGAATTGTTCAATAAAACAAACACTTGCAAGGCACGGATTCACTGTGTTGAAAGAAGACAATTCGTAGCAATCGATTTTCGAATCAATTCACAAATTTGAAAATATACATTAGCACGATTCTCCGTATTTACATTTATATTTACAAATATTTTACAGCAACATACTTCAGAACAATATTTTCTTAGATTTTGTTGGGTGTATTACTTTGTACATCAATCAGCTTCGTAGAAGTACTTCAGAAACATTCTTAGAACAAAATGATACAAAACACAAATTTGTACTCAATAAAAAGACGATCAACGAAGCAAATATATTACGGGAAAATTAAATAGGACCTAACTGCCATTTGTTTTGCGGGTTAAAATGTATTTCTGGGTTTTTCTTGCTTTCTTTTGGAGCGACGGCAAAGTTAAAGATTGAAAAAAAGTAATATTCTTTGGAAGAAATCGGTTTATTACATTTAGCTTGTACGTCACAAAAAGATAGACTTTGCCAAAGTCGTCAGCACATAAAAACAGAAGCTTTTTGGTTTTTAATGTGGACGTACCAATCAGAAGTCTGTACACTTGGCGTTCCATACGAGTTATTGTGTGCATACTTTTATGACAGCTGAATGGGGCCTTCGCTGTTTAATGCTGGAGGGCGCTCTCCTAATGGCAACGACTTTGGGGCGAATGAATAAGCTTAACAAAGCACTGTTTTAATATGCATCCTGTATGTAACATAATCCTTGATATATCAACTGACTATCAAAACTTACTGCAATGTGTACGGTTCGATCTTGATGGCCAACAAGAGTTGAGCGACCTCCAGCGTTGGCAATAATTTTAGGTCCTTGAACTTTTATGTAGCCATATATTGAATTGTTTCACACAAGTAAGACTTTAAATTGAGGCGCCTGAAGACGACAGCAAACTCCTAGTAATCCAGGTCAGTCAGACAGTCCGATCACTGACTCTGATCTGGTTAAAAGGGCGCGCAATTCCGTCTGGACATCTTCGGTCGAATTCGGTGGCGTCCTATCCATGATGTCCACGGGGGATTCGCGGTACATGATATCTCAACAAAGAGTCTTTCACTTTTGGTTAGAAAAGTACTTCTCCTCTGGTATTTTGTGGAGACGGCAATGCAGACACTACGAGAGGAGCTGAGAGGCGATAGCGGCGAGTAGAAGAAGAGTGATGCTGACCTTTATTGCGCAGCCTGCAATTCACAAGAAGGAGAAAGATAAAAATAAACTTCAAAAGATGGATTTGAGTATCGATTACATTACGGAATTATTATAGTAGCATGTGAAGTATGAACTGAGGGAATCGCGAACGTATTGCTATAGCACTCTTTTTTTTTCGTTTCTGAAACTGATGGAGGAAAAATACTTTTAGCAGATGACATCAATTATATATGGTTCTGTTTGGCTACGGATGGTGTCGTGTAACATTTTTGATTCCATGAAAATACTGACTCAATGGTTTTGTTTTGCATGCCTTGGTCGCGTCAGTCAGTCAGGTTCAGTCTCTACAATGGTAAAAGATTCGAAATTTAATAGGAGTCAAAATTACATATGACACCGGCATTAGCACACGTGTCTTTGTGAAAAGGTTTCAACCTACTCCATAGGCGCGTGTGTGATTGCAAGTCGTGGTCTACACATTTAGGTACGGTCATAGTGTGTTACCCACCTGAGCAGGGTACCAGTCCAGCCAGGTTCTCAGCTGTATCTCCAAAGGCCAGACAGTAGTAGTTATTGGTAGCAACCGAGTCATCATAACTGGCTCCCGACGCCTTGGACACCTGCACGCAGGTGTATAGATAGGTGCTACAGCTGGCTGAGGGAATGTTGATCATAGCGTTAGCGCCTGTGATGGTAACCGTTGAACCAGCCGTTATACCGGCCTGCAGGTTTTCCGCACTGGACGTCTCGGCTACAAACTCCACCGTTGTTGCGTCCACGTCCGTCGGGTCGGCGTGACTACTGATGAGGAAGGTTAGCGCGAAGTTGTCGCCTGAGGATCGGGCGGCGATGTCCGTACCCCCGGCGTTGCGGACAACGATTGAGTAGGAGACGATGTTGTCCACATCCAGGTCAAAGATCAGATTGTCGGGGCTTGTGACGGACAATCCATAAGCCTCGATATCTGCCAACGGAAAACAGATTATTGAGCTGAGATTGAGAAGTCGCAGAGGAAGAAATAATCGTATTCACTTTGATAGGAGCTCTTGATACTGTCCGAATCCTGCTGCTGATTGAGCAACCAGGCGTCACGGAGTGAAATGCAATCAGACAATTATTGGTTTCTTGGAGTAACATTAAGATGACACCTTAGTTAAAGTTTGGTCAAAATTCAGTCTGTTATAGGCTAAGCCCTCCAACCGATAGTTACCAGTTACAATGCTTATATACAGTAAAGCTCTATCAAGAGATGTTTGCGAAAGGGAACAAGAAACACGTTGACATTTTCTATGATCAGGCGCGTACGCAGGGGGGGTGTTTTGGCTGTTAAACACCCCCCTTTGCCATGTAAAAATATGGAGGGAAAAGAGAGTTATGTGACCGAGCGCGGAACAATTACAAATTATGTGCATGTTCTCAACTTTAAAGCTTTGAATACAGAAGACAATTTATAAGAGCAAGAGTATATAGGCCTATATGTATTTGAAACAAATGAAACAAAATATCCCCTCATAATTTAAAAAACTTCTGCTAAAAAAAACAGGGGAAAGTGGCCAGGAAACGCCTCAGATTGCACCACAGAGCATCTACGATCCAAAATTTCCCGGGGCCCTTAAGCAGGCCCCGGACCCCACGCCGTAAGTGCTTCGCGCTCCGCGCTCGCATTGGTCCTCTGGCCAAATTAATCCCGGGACATACCGTTATTTCGTTTTACTGTTTTGGATTTCCTCAAAAACAAAAAACAGTAAGCGAACCATTGACCGTTTTCTCGTTTGACAGTTTTGTAAACCGGTCAAACGGTATTAAGTCACACACACAAAATACTTTTTGTTGTTTTTTTTTAATTGTAGAAAGCGTTAAACGGTTAGTTGCTTTATTTTTTTTTAATTGTAGAAAGCGTTAAACGGTTAGTTGCTTTATTTTTAGGGTGTTGTCTTACAAAATCATGACAATGACAAAACGGTCAATAGTCTTGCCGACCATTTTTTGATTTTAGGTTCGGCAATTAAGCAATGCACCGGAATGTTAATTAATGCGTCCTTGGGATCGAGTCATTGCCTGGGCCCCGCTCCTTACATTTCGTTCTCACGACAAAATTTGCGAATTGGCTATTGAAGAGCCGCGTCGACTTGAACCCCAGTTTCCTTCAAAATGTCTGCAACTTCATCAAACGTCTTATTACCATCCTGTTTCCATTGTGAAAAGTAATGTCCTCCCTTGAAGTTTTCCAGCGGCATTTTGCTTGGAACTCTTTAAGCCCCACCAACTTGACTGAATCGCATGAGAAAGGGGTCAGGGTCCGCGCCAGGAATCACATCACGCATTAATTATGCCGAGGTAACACTTCTTCGTGTAAAACATGGTCCCCCTCCACCCCTTGCCCACCGCCACAAAATGCACCACGGACTGTTAACCATGACACTGGAATAAAAAAAACAGTCTGTATTTGTGTAATCTGTAAAACAAAAATCATTGATCGTTATGCTATAATGAATTTTACTAAACTTAAAAAACGGAGAAACCGTATTTATCTTAATACCGCTTGTCGTTTTATAACACTGTGAAACGACAAAACGGTCGATGATTCGTTTACTGTTTTTGTTTTTGAGGAAATCCAAAACGGTAAAACGAAATAACGGTATGTCCCGGGATTCAAATTCCCTCTATGCTATAATTTCACCCTAGCGGTGCCCCCACCATTTTGTACCTTCAGCAGCGAATGGCTCTACAAGTGGCATAAATCCCTTTCCAAAATAGAAAATTGTGAAAAAATACGGAGATGGAACATGGTTCTCAACTTTGAGTACGTAACAAACTTTATAAACAACAACAAAAAATAACAAATTTAAATGGAATTTTCGATGTTTAAAACGTTTTCTAAACGGTGGAAGTGGCCAGGAATCGCCTCAGATTGCACCACAGAGCATCTAAAATCCAAATTTTTTTCCGGGGTCTTAAGCGGGCCCCGGACCCCACGCCGTAAGGGCTTCGCAGGTCCTGGACCCTTCATTACAATAATTCTAGGCCCCCCGGCAAATGGCAGTCTGAATCCGCTCCTGTGACCAGAGCGCATATGTATCCTGTATCTGAAGTTTGGCCTTAGGGGTGGGGGCGGTTTACACAAAGATTCCCAACGGATGAGAATCATGAGATCCAGGGGACGAAGCTGAGTGATTTTAGCCAATAACAAGAACAGATCCTAGCACTTCCGCAGCCCGTGTCACTTTTTTTCTTGAATTTTTTTTTTTTTTTTTTAAATGCTGTTGAGGGAGGGGACTGCCCACATTGACCCCTTTACTCATATGTTCATCATACTCTAAAGACACAGAACATTTTTTTTCCCGATTTACTATGCTTTAGCTCAAAAAAATAACTGATGGTCGTGGGTTCCCGGCCCTTCGAGTTAACCCGTCCAAATATACCCTCTTTTATTTCTGGCGCCAACACAAACTCCTGACTTTTATTTTAGCGTAAAGTTTAGCCCACTGATACTATTTTTTATTTCTGGCGCCAACACAATTTACCATCTTTATTTCTAGCGTCATAAATGACGACATCCAATTTTGAAACACCCCCCTTGAAAAAATCCTGCGTACGCCACTGTCTATGATGATATCGTTAAACTGATGAATTTAAGAGCGGTGCATGGTCGACATTTTTGCACCGTTTTGCTATTAAAACATTCACCAACACCCAACTCCCCGATTAATTTTGACGGCTCTTTCGTGAATCGCTACACCAAAAACAAATCGAATTCAAACTTACCACTCGCAGACGCAACAGTCGTCAAGCTCTCTGCTGCCGTGGTGGCAAAGGCCGTGGTGACAACGGCCGTGGTGGCAACGGCCGTGGTGTCGACAGCAGCAGTGGTCGCCACTGCCGTTTCTGTCGTAAGGTCGGTGGCCATCGTCTCCAATTCTGTGACAACTTCAGTGGCTTCTGTCACCAACTCTGTGACAACTTCGGTGACCACGACAGTCGTCAAAACGGTGGTAGAATCTACTGCCATGGAATCCTCAGTAACCTCAGCCCCTACGCCTGAGATAAACAACCAATGATAGCAACTTAAATCACAGATCGTGAATGCATGATTGTACTTGTTTCAATCCGACAAAGTTGTGACACCAGTCACCAGAGTTACTGTTTTTGAGCACATGTAAAGTGCCATTGGTCAGGATATCACACACTTACTTATCTGTAGAAACAGTCCATCTTTGAGGTCACATTATTTAATGTTTATACAAATTATTGAGAAGTTAAAGTGAGTTATGTATTTAAGGAAGAGCAAATTATGTGCTTCGTTTTGCATGTGAAAACATTGAGAGTAAAAGAAAATTGTCTTTGAAAATCTTCTTGTGGGATTTGGTCGCATTATAAGGTGACCACAAATTTAGGGTATATCTTAAGTGGTACCTCGCGCATGCGTGAGACGCGTACCCGGGCATTGATGCTTCTTCGGGTGTTGTCATCTTGGCAAAATAACAAGTATCGGCTTTTCGTGTCATGAAACCTAAAGTAAAACCGTTGCATTTTAATTCCTAGCCATTTCTCTCCAGTAAATTTCCATTGTTCTCCCAAGAATGTTTATAATACTCGAAGCCCCATGCCTCGTAAAAAGGGTAAGAAGCTGCATGAAAATGGACTCGGTAAACTACTAGAATCTTAAAAAAAAGTTTTGGAAACTTACCATGAAGTACCAACATTATTGTCAAGAGGACGCTAATGGTATTTGCGTACCAAGCCATCTGTAAGTTAAACAAAAATAGGAAACCGAATTAAATGACCATTTGATTTTTTTAACCAGCGTTGTAATAATTGGCAATCTTAAAAAAAAAAAAATGTGTTCATATTATTAACAACATTAGGACTTCAAGAAACAATCATATATAATTAATATAGAGTTCAATTAGGAGAATAATAAATTATACCAAAATATAAAGTGGGAAACAATTGTGTATGAGAAAACAAGATTGGGCATTAGAACAAGATATTTGTACACCTCCCCAAGCCTTTCGCCTGAGGTCTCTAGGCCCGAGGCGATCATTATGTGTTTAAGGGCGTCTTTAGCAACCGTGCTAATAGTAACGCTCAAACAATCAACGCGCGTTGCTAACGCGCGACCGCGTTACGTAACGTTTCCTCGGCGGTTCGTCAAAGCGTTAATTTCCGACGTCATTGGTCGCTTATTGACACGTCATCGGCCCCGAGACAAAGAACAAATAATCCGTACAAGTGGATACCACTTTGCCCTTTTAGCTTCCAACTATTTTAGCCTTCAAAAAAAGCTTTCCTAAGAAAGATTCACTTATGGTAATTTTATTCACTCCGGAAATCAGTCTTAAAGATTCGATATTAAACTGACGTATATTCCAACTATTTAGAGAAATGTTAAATTTAAAAAACCTTTCCAAAAGGCAATCATCATGTTCGCTTAACACGAGGTTTTTTTTTCTGTTGAAAGTGTGCTTTACCGAGGCACACAAGATATTATTCGTAAAGATCGTAACTAATTCTTGATTCCTTTTTTTATAAGGAGAATAAAACTCAGAGTCGTAGCTGTACGTAATTTATCGTCTCAGAAGTATAACATTCATACACCAAACAAAGTTAGTTTCTTACACTAGGGCACAATGATAGGCCAATATTCGAGAAACACCCCCCCCCCCCTGCAATCGCCTAAATTTGGGTTAGAGTTACAGGCGCAAGTGGTGATTGCGAGTTCGAATGAATAGGCTGGCTTTTTCGAGTGAAGTGGCAAAGAAGCAAATCATCAACTGAGTCAATCGGCAAGCCTGCCCCGAGGGTGTTAGGCCTCGCGAACTGGGCCGACCGACCCGGCCGGAGGAACCCGGTCATTCCTCAGTCAACGACGGACCCAACTCAGTACTTGACGGTAACTTTGTATCGATCGTTATCTCTTCGCATTGATTTTTGTTCTCTGAGTCCAAAGCAGCCGCTTATATACGCGTCTGAGATTGAAATCACTGTAAGAAAAAGAAAGGGAAAAAAAACTCTCGCCAAACTATGGATACTGGACATCATTTACACTATTCAGTTTTCTATCTTTAAATCCATGAACTTGGATTTTCATGGTGCCGTAATACTCTGTTTCAAACCGCCGCGCTTTAAGGCGAAATTGCTGTAATTTGTGAAGAGTGCTACAACGAAACGTCGCTTATTACAGTAGGCAAGGCGTGCCCAAGGAGGTACTTTCGATATAATGATGTACGACTAGTGTCTAGTCATTCCACTGCTTACTATTCTAGCCCTTTCTTTCATTTTTCCCGTTTTCTAGCAGCAACCTTCATGAGACAAGGATCGCTAATCATCCCGCTTTTCTCGTATTGCTCGAGATCTGCACTACACAATCTCGAAATTTGCTCAAACACGAGTCTTATTTTTCTCTTAATTCTTAAATTCATTCTCCGAGCCAAAGTTACTTGATTATTTTATCACTTACCGTTATGGTGATATATTCTTGTGATTTGTCCCTGTTTCTTGATGTCTTAGATGTTGGTGGTTCGCAGAGTTTTTTTTGCTCCAGCGTGCCTATTTCCTTCCACGTCTTTTCAGCAAGTGTCGCAATCTTACGAAGCACGCACGCGGTGCTCCGCCCGCCGCGATTTCTAATGTTTGGCTCAGCAGCACTTGGAGACCGTGCCTCGTTGCTAAGCGGCAGCCTAGCAACTAAGTCTGAAGAATTTGACAAGAGATGACATTTTAGCTTGTGTGTGCATGACAAACATATCTCGAATGGGTCTCTAAATTAGCATCCTTAAAGTGGCACTCTTATTGCATGGTTTTGTAGACATCTTGTTGGCTTTGTATTGTTTCTGGCTGCTAAACTAGTGCTATTTTGAAGAGCAAATGTTTTCTGTAGTAAATTTCCCTGCCTCACAGCTCCGTTAATTTGACCACAGGCGGAAATAGGAATTCGTGCTCTGAGTTAAGAATAAAGCTCGTCTTTCGAAAAAGAAACGCAGAATATCACCTGACAGTCACTTTAACTTTTACCGCGATCTCGAAATATTGGTTCTTCGCAAACACTGTTTTATAAGGCAATCGGTTTTTATTCTCATTACTTTGTGAAGTCTCGTGCTGTGGTGATGAATGGTCTTGTAGCCTAGGTGTTGGTTTGGGCATGGCAGTTGCTTAGAAATGGAGCCCTAAACATAGACTGTTACGAGCACATCAATTTTTATCCAGCTTTGACCGAATTTTTTTAGTAAAGAAAGGAAACCTCCTCCAAGTCAATATATGGCTTAATATCAGGCCAGTGTTTAACAATTTTCTGATTTTCTAAAACATGAAACCACTTAGAATATAAGCCCTCTAGAGGGAATGCTCGTCCATCGCAGATTACTTCCCAATAAAGTGGTTTGCCCAAGGACACAACATATGGCCAGCAGCTGGATTCAAACCCCTGGCCCTGCTATAGTGAATCAGAAACTCTAAACACTAGCACTAGGCCACACTCCTCATTGCACGTTGTTAACATAAGTTAAAAAGAGAAGATACAATTTCTGGACGAGCCTGGACCATTAAAATCTGGCAAATTATTTCAAGACCTGATTTCATGACCCAGATCTCTTTTTAGGGCTTTCTTTTTTTTATCGATGAGTAGGGGAATTAGACAACTTGGTAATCCCTATCAGCGATTGCGAATCAATGGGAAAAATTTTCAAACATTACAACCTAAAACGGGATATAGTTTCCCAACTTGTTTTCAAGTTTGCACATGACAGAAAATTCTTCCAAAAACTTGATAACTCACTCGAAGTATCTTGAAGCAATTTCATTCAAACTGTTGGTTCAGTAACATTTTTTTTTTTTCCAATATATTTTAACCCATCTTATACTTTGGGGCTTAAAAAGACCACGCATTTTTTGCCTTGTACATCAGTTAATAATTAGTTTAATACATCCTTTTTATAATTGGAATAAAACTATTTGGTTGGGTTTTTACCTCACTATTTGCTTAATTGGCTAAGGGTAGATTTTTTTTTGGCTAAGCTAAAAATGGATCCACCGTAGCAGTCACAGGAAATCTCTTAGGTAAACAGAGGCCAGCAGCTTGATCACTATTGTCGAAGTCTCCACACACTCCGCAATACAGGAGTCACATCTCTAATAAAAGCCAACACACTGAACAAACAGGGATGGACAAACAAACAGAAACAAGTGGCCTAAACCAACAAACACCCCGAAGGCTTCGGTAAAGGGTCGTGACAATTGCTTCATGCAGAATATTGCATAAGTGTCGTGTTCGCAAGGGTCAAGACGCATGTGAAGATCGGGAGGGGCGTGGCTTTGACAAATGTAAGGGCGTAAAAGATGATTATGGCAATCAACGTGTAAGAACAGATTACTAACACGCAGAGCATCATATACTCCAGAGTGTGGTGTGAACTGAACTGTATTGATGCTTAAAAGAAATTGAGGGCGCCACACCGCTGACACCACAACCACCACGCGTGAGCCTGAGCCATTTTCGAAAGCTTGGCTTCGGATGGGTTAGATCTCAGGCTTAAACAATGCCGGAATAACAACCAACAATGAAACTGGGGCCTTGCATCAGACGATTATTTGTAACATATAAACGAGGCTGTACTGCACCATACCGGGGGCTGTCATATTATAAGGGCCTAAAATCACGAGGCTTAAACCTGAAGCCGCATCTGAGACCAAGCCGAGATTTGGAAACGCCTTTGATGTCTCAGAAATATTACGGGTTTATTCAGGTACAGTGCGCAATAAAGTTCAAACTCCAAAATAAGATTTTTCGAAAATACTGCAACTCCGAGTTCGCCGAATGGGAGCTTTATGTTAAAGGCGTCCTTTGTAAAAGCAAAAGAAATGATTTTCATTTTCTGAAAAGGCTATGATGGTGCATGAGTCATACTCATAGACATATAAAAGTGCTCAGTTCCAGAAAATGACAGAGCGCCACCACCTAAAAGCAATGAATATTGAGGGCGGGCTTCAGAACAGCTCCGTGGGTTGCAAAATAAGCTACCATAATAGACTCCAGTGATAATTACGCCCACTTCCAAAAAATAGGGGAAAAATACGTACAACTCTGCAAGTAGGCCTACGAGTTTGAGACACACATCCAGTTGAAGCTCATTTTGTGATCTTTCTTTTCATGTTCTATTTTTTGGGGATTAACCGATGATTTTTGGGGAAAATTTGCATCCGAAGGTGATGACACATGAAAGTCGTCCTGAATAATGCCGTCGCCATTTTTAAAAATGATGCCTACACTCCATGGCAAAATAGCGAGATTAAACACGGTTTACGTCATTGAATGTCCGTTGAATGTACATTGTGATCATGTTATTAAAATCAAGTGGACGTGCATTAATACAATTTTTCTTCTAATTGCCTTTTTTTTGGGGGGCAATATTTATCAGAATTAAAAATGAGGGGGAAAAACTGGGGGGGGGGGACTTCAAAAACAAAACAAACTGTTCAAATGATTATCAATGTGCATTCCACCTTTTTAGTGATCTGGGTTCGAATCCACCCCAAGGCGACATGTGGGTTTGGTTTTCAGTCCCCTCCTAATCCCTAGGATTTTATTGAGGTTTTCGTCCATTTTTTCCACCATTTCTTCTTTGTTTCTTCAGGCTGCACTTTCGTGGACCCAATGATGTCATTACCATTCCGTCTACCAGAATTATCGCTGGTCTGCATGTACGTACCAAACAAAAGCATCATCCTCCACAGAAAAGAAAAGCTTCGTCCTACATCTAAATTGATGGCCTGACAGAGACAGCGTTTTAATCAGTGTTTATTGGGATGATAATAATAAGTGGCAGCCATTTCATTCAGATACCATCTTGTCTGACCAGATCTCAAGAAATGAATCTTAAAGGTTTCTCCACTGATAAGTGGTTCACAGGAAGAAGAACCAGCAACCGCGCCGCTCTTTATATTGATAATACATGGTATTCCAAAGTTTGACCTCTGAATATCTGCAGCTAATATTTGGCCGAAGATGTTGGCTGTTCTTGTTATTTTCATTGTGCATAATTTATAGAAAGGCTTTTATTCAAAATTAGTCCTGGCGACTCTTGTCTCATTTTGTTGAGTTGGGGGAAATCACATAAACTACCAGGGACGTGAACGTCGTACTCTCTGGCTCAAGATCGATCGCTATGTCGCTGAATAAATAAGAGCCTGCGTATTGCCATCATCATTTCCAATCAAATTGTAATTTGCATCCCTCCGGCAGTCCTGACTGGACTGATTGAGTTAATTAGCCGAACATAACGGAAGTTATCATTCCGGTCATGTGATTAGCCCATGGTCTTGAGGACTTCTCTAAGGCGATGAAAATGCTTTCCGCGAATCATTATAGAAGAGGAAGTAAGAACAATTAGCAGCACACGTACATCATAAATGTTCTCATTTTAGGAAATTCCAATTGCAAATTATTAAGAGCTCCTAAATATAGCACAAACCACACTATATTGGTGCGAAATTTGTCGTCTTAACAAGCCTATTAACGCGCCTACGTAGGCCTGTTTACGAGTCGCCTCATTCATTAAAAAGCGGATGCGGGAGATTGCAGGTTCCAGTGCGCCTGCGTGTTGCCAAGGCAGCGGTAAACGGTATGGCGAGAATTTGCGCGCCCCGTCCCGGAAAAAAAAAACGCGGAGCAAGGAATCTATTGGAGTGGTGGGTTAATGATTGACTGGGTTCGTCCGGTGGGTCGGCTGGTGAAAGGGGAATAGCGAAATGCACTGATTGGAGAGAGAAAAAAAATATGGCTGACGTGATATGGAGGCACTATCTGCTTGTATGTGGGAGTGCTGATGATTGTCCCTTCGTTTGCTGACGAGAAGATGAAGCAGATTTTCCGGCTGTTTCTGCCGACGCAGATATTTATGCAAATAACTCGGAGTCTGTGAACATCAACCACAATGTTGTCCAGGTAACGGCTTGTTTTTTTATATTTTGAGAATTGAAAGTCCTACAGAACGAAGGCTTGTTTGCCAAACAACGTGTGACTCTCCTATAATCTCGCACGTATTTCATGTTTAATATTCCAATCGATTTGGTTATTGTCTCACACGCGGTGTTGATCTGGACTGGTTTACATTGAGGCCGTGTGTGGAAGTATTTAGCAGTCGTTTGAATGCTGAAAACGCAGACTGGATATCGCTATCGAAATATTGATCTGTGAATAGAAAGCGGTGTCATGCTGTTAACTGCGCAATATTCGTAATGGCATGACACTTTGCATCCGAGAATACCTAACACTTTCAAGCTGGCCTCTGATTCGGTAAAAAGACGGTGACCTTCCGTGACCTGTGTGACGTCATTCAGCGCTGATTTATTTTCTTGAAGGCCTACGTGCTTCCAAGGTAACATTCCACTTGTGTGATGTGTGTAGCACCGCATCAACATTGCCATGGTGAAGTATTTCGAAGAGTGAACCTACCCAACCACTTCCATGCACTCAGAGAACCGCGGCTTGTAAGGATTTAAGAGCCTCACAGAGAAAAGACAAAAGAATCAACGATTATAGGAGAGAGGCCCTCGACCGTTTGCGGACCGTTCAACCGGCGACATGTCGCCTCTTCCGCCCTCGGAAAGTTTGATTGATTGAATCGACGCCATCTGTTGCCGTGTACCTTTGCACCTTCGCGCACACAACAAAGAAGAAAGAAAAAACGTCAGCATGTCTGATTCCAGAGATAGAGATGGGAAGGGGGTCAGAAGTAGCGGTAGCAGCAGTAGAAGCAAAACACCGTCACGCTCGGACGTCATGGAGAAAACACTGGGCGAGTTACGGGGCAAGGTGACTGAAGTCACTGATGAGTCTTTCAATAAGGCATGGGACCGCGTGTATGGGAATAAGGAGTACCGACCCTCATGGGTGGGGAAGATCACTGACGGAGGACGGCAGCATGGGGGACGCGGACTACCCCCGCCCAAGGCTCTCTACGTGCCCGGTGTGGGGCAACGACCGGAGCCTGCTGCAACCCACGGTGCGTCCAAACCCACCGACGACCAGTCACTCAAGAAGATCGACGAAGAACCAACACCCAAGCCAACATCAAAGCCTAAGAAATCTGACGAGATTAAGTCGAAGCAGTACGCCGGTATTCCAGAGCAATTCCGGGCTAAACACGTGCCCAGCCCGTTGAAAATTGGCGGCAAAGTCGTGCCTCAAGAGCAAGAGTTAGACACGTGGAAGGATGCCATCGCTTCGGATGAGGTCAGCAGCGACGGTAAGCCTGTCTTCAACAAAGTGGTCAAGCAGACCAACATCACGGGATGGATGGATCATAATAACTACTGGGAGCAAAAGACTACCAGTCTCACCTCCAACCCTCCGCCGGCAAGAAGACGACAGAAGCCCCGCATACAACACCACATCGTCACGGCCAACTACGACATGGTCGGCAAGTACGAGAACAAGGTCCGCCGGCAGGACTTGAAGATCGGCGCCGTACAGCTGCCGGCCGAGAAGGAGCTTAAGAGCTGGGGAGATGATCTGGAAATCCCTGACGACTTGGGGACTGCGGACTACAGTCTGGAGGACGCCACGGATCTGGAGCCCGCCAGCTCGCCTCGACGGCAGAAGTGGAACGCTGTGCTGAAACACTCAAATGTGCCTGGGTTCTTCACCCATAACAACTACTGGAAATGAACCAAGGTTTGCCGTGCAAATCGCCACTTTAACTTTTGTTGACAAGTTACGAAATGGTGCCTACGCAAACTTGACTCACTACGAAAATTGGCATAAAAATGCATCCTCGCATGCAAATTCATTGCAAACGAAAGATTTCGGCCTCTGCAACATTATCAACGACCTAGAGTGTAGCTGTTAGTGATTAAAGATGGCTGAATCGTTTGAATATGATTTGACCCTTGACATGCTTAATTTACATACATAGCGCCCTCTGTTCACGTCTTCTCAAAATCTTTAAATGAAATTAGATAAGTCGTATTATCTATTTGCCGCTGTAAAATGCGTTTTTAAAACCTGTTATGTTTAAATGACGAAAAATACATGAATGAACGACATAACATCGATTGGTGGCAGCATAGGGCTACAAACCAATCCATTGACGACGTCTTTCTGCGCATGCGCTCAGCTGCTTAAGCGCAAACACAACAATGAATGGCCGTTTCGTCCCAGACCCAGGGCGAGTATAAGCACATTGTAATCTTGCTGCAGGGCAACTTGCTTGATTATGTCGTCTTGGTGCCAACAGGGGGCGCTTTGTAATATAAATGTATTTACTTTCGCTATGTACATAATACATTGTAAGACTAATTTTAATATGCAGGTGTGGACAGTAATTCTGTCCCCCGGTAAAAGTGTCCGGGGGGACAGAATTACCTAGGTAAAAGTGTCCCCCCTGTCCCGTTAATTCTGTCCCCCTCCAGGTAATTCTGTCCCCTCCAGTTAATTCTGTCCCCCCTGGTTTTGCACGCAAAAGTTGTTATATTGATGTTATTATAATGAATTCAGCGCACAGGGTATACATTTTTAGATTTTTCCACCCTTCATCAATGATTATCAAAATGAAATTAACGTTTAGATGTTAATCAACCGATTTATGTTTCTGCAAGAAAGCAGAAAAGGCACGCGTAGTAATACTCAACCTATCGCTAGCGCGCGCACGCCCTCCGTAGGTGCGGTACACTCGCGCGCACGCCCACCATGCAAATCGCTCGCTCCCGAAGTCGTCATTAAAACGGGAGTTGTGCTTTGCCGTAAGCACCATTCCCGAATTTAGCAAGGCGCCGCGCAAAAACAGTTAATAACTTTACTAATATACAGTCTGGGTGCTAGACTTGTGACGTTGCACGGGGACACATTTACCAGGGGGGACACATTTAACGTCGTGCAGGGGGACAGATTTACCTAGAGGGGGACAGTTTTACCTAGGTAAAAGTGTCCCCCCGGACAGATTTACCGGGTCACGACCCGGTAAATCTGTCCGGGGGGACACATTTACCAGGGGGACAGAATTACCTGCCACAGGAATGCAGATTCACTTGTACACATTTAATTAATAGGTATTATGCAAACATTAACATTAACTAAAAGGTGTGTTCTACACGTAGGCCTACCTTGTTAGTATTTATCTAGTTGTTAGATTCAGATATGATACTTGTAGAAGTCCTATTGAAATGATGAACAACCTTTTATTAATAGTTTCGAATTTCTGTAATTTCGGTCACATGAATATTTGTTTTTACACTCCGTTCCGAGTCGTAGTCGTAATCAGACTCATTTTGATCATGGTGACAATTCGTGGGATTTACTGTCACGGGAAAACTCAGCATGAGATAATGCGGCCCGTGCTGGAGCTTCTCGTCTTAAAATTATACCCCTACATTACATGCGACATGTTGAAGAACTGTTTTGGAAAGGGCAGATTTGCCAAAAATTCTTCGAGAATGAGACCAAACTGAGACTGACCAGAATTGTAATGGAAACTGGCACTCAACAGATCATGAATTATGCTTATTACGCTTATTACAACCTTCACTTTACCTGATTGCCCTTTTTATGGCCGTTGATACATATTATTGGTCTATTCGCTTTATCAAAATATTCATGAAAACAACTTGCAAGCTTCAATTGTCAAGAGTTCCAAAAATTGACAATGTGGTTTTAACCATTAAGTGAGCAAATTGTATTGCAAGAAACATTTGAGCTAGTCAATCACTCCACACAAAAAGATAAACTTGGCCTTCTTGTTCGCTGCCGTTTAGATCAGACTATCAGGTTTACTGTGTATTCGCTCCTTAAGTTCAGACTTGCGCCTACGGGATCTCTCGCCACGGTTTCCCGTTGCGCGTTGAGCGGGGGAAGTCCGGTATCCTGATGGGGGTGAAGGGACCATCTGCCCGTACAATCGTCAGGTGCCAATGTGAAAAGGGCCGACAAATTCATGGGCTGAGCTCTTTCAAAATCCATTCCCAAGCTGGTTTTCGGGGCCTTGGTTAGCAAAAGTCATGCCCGTTTTACGCCGTGCTGAAAGAGTTCGTTTGAAAAAAAAAACCCGAATGCGCAGATGCAGACTGAGCTTGCGCGTACATTAATGATCATGGAGCACAAACTCACCACGAGCCAGTTTCAGCACGCCGTCTGGTTTAGGAAATTTTAAAGAGATTTAGAAAATAACGTAAGTTTAAATTCCGTTTTTTCTCTTTTGTTAAGGACGAACTATTTGCGTTTAATGGTTGAATTTCAACTATTTTTTAAATCCCTCAGTCACATACCATTCTAAATCAATTAAAGAATACATTCGTTTAAAACAATAGCCGCTATTCACTGAAAAGATTTTAATTAAACCTTAAACTACGTCGGTATACATCCAAATCGTGACTAGAAAAAAACACAGTCTTCATCAAGTTGAACAACTGTATCCACAGTATTTCTCAGACATTTTTTATAACATTCATTTGAATTTTCTTTGGGTGCAGTATTTTGAACAGCAATATATTAATATCCCTTCGCTTCAAAACCGGTGGTCGACGCGTGTAACTAATTGTGGTATTTTGTTGACAAATGAACGACGTCTTTCGACGGATATTTTATTGTAGCGCTTAGAATTTTTAATAACAGTTCTCGAGATAGACTTTGGCCAGCGATATAAACGTGGGGCTGAAAGTGTGAAATTGAATATATTCGATGCGAGTGCCTTTTCACTTTGAGGAGATGAGCATTTTGATAAAAAAAAATTGTTATAATTTGTTATAAGACAGCATGCAACGTTATCATACTATTATTGTCAGTAATGCTTTCATTATAGACCTGTTGTAGCCTCTGCTAAACGAACATTCATCTTTTGTTTCAAGTATGCAAGAGTTTGAATCGGTAATTTACACACAATGTCAACACACCTGTTTATACCTACACAAAAGCCACCCGTATATCTAAAAAAAATCAAGCGGTCGTCATTCTAATGGGCCGACAGTTTCTGAACATTAACTATCGTAATACTGCACTGTTGCTTTGTATACAGCTTTCTTTTTAGATATCATTTTTAAGGACTCAGATTTGAAAATAACATACAAATGATAAATCATTTCTAACTAATGGCTTAAAAAGGACAAGATTTTGTTGCCGTTAGTTCAACAACACACGATTACAATTCAAACACTGAACAAACCACCGACAGGGGTATCTTATGTTGACTTTGCAGACTTTCACATGTCGACATGGCATCGATAATCTCAAGTCTTGTTTATGGTCTCATTGAAGGATTTTCTTCAATCCAGTATTTTTTCATTTTAGTAAATATAATTGGAATGTTGGCTATAACCCTCTCCACAAGACATTCTGAGGTAAGAAAAAGAAAGTGGTTTTATTCTGTACTCTTAAAAGTCCCGAGTCAAATTTGACCCGGAATCCGAGTCAAATTTGACCCGGAAACCGAATCAGATTTGATCCGGAATCCGAGTCAAATTTGATCCGGAATTTGACCTGATACATTTCGGTGTCAAACTTACAATTTTTTCTGGGTCAAAATGACACTTTCGCTGAGGTTCCAGATCGAAATGACCCAGAACATTATCAACAGAAATGTATCACGTCAATTTGACCCGGAACTGGAAACTAGCTCTTTCAAGCAAACAATTGCCAAGTGATTTCTCTCGTTCGTGAGAACCGATTTGAAATATGAAAAGGGTGAAACATGTAGGCCTACTTGCACATGAGGGACACATGTTTCGTTATGTTTTCCGCGGCGCTAACATTTCATAAAAAGTACTCATACATTATAGATTATATCTATTTATTCCACCAGAAACGACAATATGTTTTTGGAATGGAAAGTTTTCTGTTTTATATTTAGAAAGTAATCAATATGGGGTGTTTTTTTTAGCTAATTCAGTTTTGTTTGCCTATCTGTCAGCCATTATGCAGATTTATCGGTTTCGCTTCCATTGCCCAGCCGTCGGAATAACGTTTAGAGAATCAAGATGATGATAAATGGCTCCAAAGTACAATAAATTACACGGCAACGGCCACGGGCGGAACTATTGGTTAGCGTGTCCCGAGCAGGGCATCTCGCGGTAGCTAGGCGAGAGTGGACGGTAGCGTGCTCGCCCAATGGCCCGCTGAGGACCCTTCATATTCTCGGAGTTTGGTATAATCAAAGCAAAACAATACAAACAAACCTAGGATTAATACTTTGGTTGCCCCGATAAGCTATCATTAGCAAATGCCATTAATCCAATGAGGGTGGTTTTTTAAGAATAGTTGATCGGTAACTACTTGATTAACAAGTGAAGGATCGGTGTCCATGGAAACAAACACGTCACACCTCCAAAAATATTCTCGCAGCACGGAATAATGTATTTGTTATTTTAACTTTTTATTTCAAATCGAAGATATTAGAGGCATCAAAATGTTTAACTATTCTTGAAATTGTTTTCAACCGTAAACCGTTCTTTGAAAAAATCGGTACGCAAATCATCGCAAAATTAATTTTATAAAATATTGATTTCACACAATTCTAAATATTACAATATAGTATTTCGCGTTAAGTCGTAAAGTTCAGTACAATTTTGTATTGCTAGAAGTGTAGTATCGTAGTTTAATAGGGAATCGACAAGAACTAATAGATGTTATCACGTGACATTATCTTTGGATAATAGCAGTTCAGTTTTAAAATTGGCAAAAAAATTGCAATCTGCTATTATTTTTGTGAAATTATAATTATAACGCCGAGCTCACATTCCTTCCCTTATAATAATTAGTTGGATTATTATTATGTAAATGCTACCTTTGATAGACATTACCACATAGACGTGGGCAGTTCACAAAAATCTGAACTTTCGTGACATCTCCCTAACCTAAACTTGACTACCCTCACCAAACTTTGTAAGTTTGGGTTTTGCATCACGAAGAATCGATTTTGCCTTTAATTTCAACGCTACAATTATGCCTAAAAATATGACGAGTGAAGCATTAGTAGAGAAACAAATATCTCCCTAATTTACCTTGTCTCACTAAGGAGTAATGTACAACTTGTTAGCCAAACGTGTCGCCCTAATGGACCATTACTTGTGAGAACTAGAGAGTATTAGACTGTACAGCGGTAAATTCCCAGTAGTATATTTTTTTTAAGTTAGAACTAATATTGTGAGTAATTTTAATATTATGACAGCGCATTAAATCTACTTAGCGAGTGGTTATTACATATCATCTAAAGATATCGCCTTTAAACCAAAAATCCGTCCATTTGAAGTAGAAATTTAGAGTGTACAGTATAATTCTGAAATGTGTATTATATTATGAAAGTCTATCTGTGTTTTGCTTGACACCGTATTAAAGCATTTTGCGATGAGCCTATATTATACACCGGCCGCTGATTTGGCTAAACGACGACTTTCAATCTTGTGTTATTGTTACATTTCCTTTAAGGAAATTTTAAAAACATATTGCAATAAAAGAATAACTAAGCGATAAATAAGTAGTTGAATTGTTAAAATCGAATTGTTAAAGGGGCATTACGGCCTGAAAATGCCTGCATGTTGTTTCATTCGAAATCACGTAACATTTAGAAATCGGCCTTCGCAACCACCCCCCCCCCCCCCCCCGGCGACATGACATCGAAGCATGCGGGAGCGGGGCCCATTCTCGAGGCCTCGCACCAACCCCGCTCACAATGGGAAGACGCCCCCCCAAAAAAAAACCAGCTGCAGTCACGGAGGAAGGAAATTTCATGAGCTAGAATTCTGCTCGGTATGGCTTTCAAGTTGTTCCCTACATAATGCATATTTCACATGCTATATACACTGTACTCGCAAACACCTGCCCTTATCAGACGCGCTATGCTGGGTGTTTCATGTTCGCCAAAATTAACGGCTATTTCATGTACACAACATGCGCAATTCATAATATTTTGTGACTCAACGTCATATTTCTTCTGGTTTATTTACGAAGCAAATTAAAACCTGATGGCAATATTTCATATGTCCAACATATGTTAACATCTGTGAAAATAAGAAAAGGTCAACATTCTTTTCTTTGACAAACGTTTTAAGCACAAAAACAAATGTTTTAAGAATTATATAAATGAAATTATATCTTTAATTCCGAAGTGCAAGATACTAATCCTGTAAAGAAATTATACTTTACTTTTACAGAGAACTACAACTCTATTGAGATATTTCATAAGAAATTGAAATTATTAAAAAAAACGAGGTCAATTTTCTGTATTGCAATGTGTCCAATAATCTTTTTCCTGATTTTTTTCCTGATGTCACAATTATTGATATTTGTAATCTTTGGTATGTCATATTTTATAGATTTGGTATAAAAATCGTGGAATTAAATTATTGATATTTGTAATCTTTGGTATGTCCTATTTTATAGATTTGGTATAAAAATCGTGGAATTAAAGTGGTTTTTTTTAAGCTAAGGTAAATCAAATTCCATCTTTCATTTTCACGAAAACAAAATTCAAAGCTTTACTGGCCTTTTTTTCAGTACATGTATTTACTTTAACATATCGATAAATGTGACCCTTAAACAGCCATAATTTGCCAACGCAGAATGTCTGATTGAGAGAATTGTGTTCTCTTTTCTAATACCCACAAACCCTCATTTCGAACTCTTCCAAGTTCTGTCTCATTTTGCCAGATTGCACATTTATTCATAGCAAACCTAGGTACAATATTTTGAAATGAATTACTGGTAATAAGCACAAAGCTTAATATCACAATATTTTAAAATACAGAAAGTGATTGAATTTGAAGACAAAATACACCATTAAATTAACAAATGATTTAAGAAGGATAAAGCTCTGTAAAAGCTTTAAAATTAAAATTTTTTATTATCTTTTTTATCTATTCAATTCATTATCTTTATGAAAGTTGCCTGTGTGAAGGCCCTGAAAAAAAAACCACTAGAATGTGAAAACACAAAGATGGGAAAGAAAAATGGAAGCTCAGAAAAAGAGGAATTTCAGAACAGAAACGTAGTAATCGATGGAACTTGGATGGATCACTGTAAAACTATAAAGCACTTTTTATATACGTTGATCAGTTGATCATTAAAATCATGCCGCTATACTACAAAGCGACTCACACGTATGTTTTTAAGCATTTAATAGGGTCCACAATTGGGTCAATGTCCACTGTTGACCTGAACTTGTTGTCTGCAAGACCGAGCGTCCCTGCTTAAATTTTGGCGCTGGTTTTCCTGGCGTAGCCCCAGGTACGCATGCGGCTGATTCCTCCATCAGGACGCATAGTGAGACGTAAATGAGTGACAGGCTCAATATCCTGAATGGTGGCTTCAAAGAAATGATGCTGATGAGCCGAAAGCTAGAACCAAACAAAGAAAAAACAGGAAAACTAAAATTAGGAATGACACAGGAGTTTAAGAGAGGGGGTGTCTATCATCTACCAATTAGCACATCTGAGAGTAAAATAGTACACATTCATCTGCAGCTCAACAAAATTTAGTCATTTTGATTACTTACTCACATTATTTCAGAGGTTTTTGTAACAAATTATCTACCTATTATCTTATATTTATAAAAAAGACAAAGGTTGAGATATGATTGAAAAGGTCGAGTGTGGAAATTCCTAAGACTGGATTGGATTTATCTTGATGATAGTACCTTCTACCAGGGCTGGTTGCATTAAGAAAACAAAATTAAAAACTTCAGCCTTGGATCAAGACTAGTTCTTACCTTGCTTGGAGGTAGGATTGTCTTCCACAGACACTGTGAGAAGTCTCCCTTTGTCTTGCCGTGTCGGTAGCACTGGGCCTGCCTCTCCTGCTCCTTGGACATGATGCAGCCTGCAGGAAGAAATAGCTGACGTTTAGAGGTGCGCATTTAGTACAGGAATCAGATCCCCAATTGAAAAAAAAACATGGATACTCGGATATCCATTAAAGAAACCCAGCCCCAAAATGTTAATCTCAGAAGTTGCTGTACACACTGTTCATAATCACAGTGTAAATTGCACTTTCCCCCAAATCCATCCATTTCTGAAAATTACAGCAAAAGCGAATGTTGTATATTCCTTTTAACACAAAAGTCAAATATTTGATTGAAAATCTGACCTTCCACACTGCAGGAATCAGGATAATTGCCTTTGAAGTGGTTCGTGTCAATCTCAATCTAAGACAGATCAACAAAGAGAATTAGGAATTAACACAACGCATTACCTCAATCATCAAACAATGTTGAGCATCACATTTGGGGCATCATCATGATTGCAACACATGTTGAATATTCATATTTGACTAGAGATTATTCATGTTTTCCACAAAAGGTGAATATTCACGAATGGCTTCAAGTTCTGAGCCAATCCTATTTAAAGCTGAGTGAGGATTATGCAAATATTCAACACACATGTTGAATATTCATAATATGCATCTAGCTCAGAGCCAATTCTAATTACCACAGAATGATCAAATCTTTCTTTGACGGCTTCAAGCTCTAAACCAATCCTCTTTAATGTGAGTAACCAATTATGCAAATCTTCAAGACATGCTGAATATTCATAAAAGGATGCTAGCTCTCAGCCAATGATATTCACCCGTTTGATGACTCCCATATGACCCAGTCTGAAGACCGCCCACTCATATCCCTCCACTTTCAACACTGCATTTTCATCTGCTTCCAACACGGCTGGTCTGTCCAACTATAAAATAGGACAAGAATAATACAACCAAACACAAGTAACAACCAGAGAGTTAACGAAATTACACCACAACAGAAGAATTTACACCACAACAGAAGTAACAGGACAAAGGAGTTTACAATGAAACAAAGGTGACATTTTTAATGATTTATCGGGTCAAGAAATGCATAACTAAATATATTAACAGGCAATTTCTCCGTATATTCATTTTCAAAAATTAAACTGTTATTGTAAAGGAAAACAGCCTTGTTTCAACAACATTTAATAACCCAACGTGTTGCAGCTACAGGTTTTGTAAACGTAGCAACAGAAATATCCTCAACAGGAATAAATGTTGCATGAGTTACTGAGAAACGTTTTCAAACAATTGAAGTATGTAGTAGTGTGTATTTCTGTGACATGACTGACTCTGCGAGCAGTTTCCCATCCGTCAGCCATGATGAGTGAGCGCGGAGCGGCCAGTAGATTCCTAGCATGTCCAAAATGGACGTCACTGTATCCAAGACAGACTCCACCATTCTCCATGGCAACCAGGTCAATCAACTGCAAATAAAATCATCTAAAATAAGTCAAAACAAGATAATATCATCTTCCACTTCTTCCAAAAATTCACCAAATCAACTAAAACAAACAAATGATTGTATGCTCTCCTTTATTAATGCCAAGTTTTCTTACGTTGACAATTAACATCCGTTTTCCTATTGGTTGATTTTTCCGAACTCACCTGATGGTGTTAGATTTTGGACCAATCAGGTTTGGCGTAATTAAAAATCATCTTTGACTCCAAATTTTTCATGCCAAAAAGTTGCATGATTATATGCCGGAGTAAATTTGAAAAAAAAAAAAGAAACTTGAATTTCATTGGTCGATTTCTATGAACTCACCAGGTGGGTAGAGACTTTTGACCAATCAGGTTTAGCAATGCCGTACACCCGCAGTCTGGCTATACCACCATCTGTTAATACAGATTAGTAGAGCAAAGGTTATTTACAATTATTGTAAATGATTGTTAATAACACAATCATCCCGTCAGCTTTTCTGCAGAAATTCTGTGCTTCAGTTAGCATGTTCTAAAGTAAGCACATGCTTTTTGACTATCCAACAGTTCTCAAGTTGATACCAGAATATTTTTCTGGGCTTTTCCTCCCACCACTCAAACTGTAACTTCTTCTCATTGTCTCCTCTCTACAGGTTTCTTCAGGCTTGCCAGCTACAGAGCCTAGAGCGCTTTTGAGGAATCCTTGGTTTCATTACCAGAAATAAATAATAATAATGATCTCTGACAAATCCGAGTATATAGTGTTTATGAAATAATTTTTATCTCCCTGTCGCAAAATTTGCATCACATGAAAAAGTCCCTCAAAGTCAAGCTCTGTAGATCCAGCAAGCCCAGCCCTAGAATGTTACGACCAATCACAGCCATGATAATATCCAGTGGGAGGGGCATAAATTATCGCTCAACTGTATCAACCTGTGAATTTGCATACCAGGGTACATGTTGAGACGCAAATGGGTCCACCTTTTGTCTGACTGAATACCGAAGTAGTTGTTGCAGGTGTCTTTGTATCCGGGCAACAGAGTTGTGGTAGGTACAATCTCCTCCCACTCCTGTTGAGCCAAAATGCCTCATACATATTCATGATCAATTGTCATACCTCATACATATTGATGCATTCAACTTGTGCAAACAAATTCCATATAGTTGAAATGAAATGAAACCCAACATCGACCAAGAAGAAAATGAATTTCGATGTTTCAGCCACAATATTGTAACAAGATGTTGAATGGGGAAGTTAAATTGGAAGGCTACTTTGACGAATGCTCCACAAAGGTTTGATTTTCTTGTAGTAATGAATTAGTTTCTTGTAATCTTGTTTCTTGTAGAAATGTTTGTAGTTAAATCTCTTTAACTCTTTTCTGAGTTATTTTCTTCTTTTTTTAAATTGTATGGATGATTTAAATTTTACCAGACAAACTAAGGTTACCCTTAACCAAACTAAGATTACCCCTAAGGTTACTGTAATAAACATGCCAGGTGATCAGGATCAGAATGATAATTACATTAGTGGAGAGTTTTTCCATCGCTGCTTGTTGTTCTTCACTGGCCGCTGTTCCCATAGCACCCTGTCTCTCTGGGAAAACAACATCTGTGATAAAAACACAACAATTATGTCTAATTTCTAATACATAGATAATTATGTGTGACAAATTTATATAGGTTCTTTTTGTTTCAATTGCAGTTTTAAACAGGAGGAAAAACCTGTATCCACTCCAAGCGCGAACAAGAGAGGGCGTTTTGTAACCACTTTTGAAAGTCCCGTGGGCAACACACAACGTGTGTGAGAACAGGTTCCCATAAAAACGCATGACGTGTTGTATTCTGAACGTGCACAAAGCAATGGGGTCTTCGTGTGAGCCTCATCAGGCGTTGTTAGTAATGCATTCGAATGTCGTCTACGTGGTCTGCCCCATATCTTCCTTTCTTACCGTTGAGGGGGTACTTGTTCACGGAGCCCATACTTGTGCTCCATACCTTCCCAGGCCAACATGTGGACTGGGCTTTCAGTCTGTATCGGATACCATAGAATTCCCTCCACCCCAAGAACATTTTCTGAGATTTTCCTCCCTCTTCTAAAACCAATCACTCCATCACTGTCTTTCTTAAACAGACTTCTTCAGGCTTGTGAGTTTCATATTTAGAAGTCCTTGGTTTCACACACAGAAAAATACAAGGGGGGGTTCAAATAGTTGGCATTCTCTCCAGCTGCGTCTTACTAAACATGTGTCTATGGTAGCTGAAGCCGCTTCACATAGACACGTGTGTTACTGCTAGCCATGGCTACATAAATTGGACATAGCCTTAGCCCTGTCACCTTCTCCCAGACACGCCCCCTGGATGGAAATATTGGGAGCGAAGTTGCCCGTGAAGAATGAAGTGTCAGCCTCGATGCCGGAGATTAGGCCGGGGATTCCTAGCTTAACGATGCACCAATCGTGGCCAGGAATGCGTTTCCTTCTGGTCTCCCAGCCGTCCATCCATTTGCCAAACTCAGTGAACACCCCTTCTTTCCATAATGGTGGCTCCGGCTGAGGATAAGGTTATATTATTTGTTAAAGGTAATACATGTACCAGGATCAAGTCATTCTTTTTTCTTCTTCTTTTTTTTGAGGGGGAGGGGGTAATTCTGGGTCCATGTACTTGCCAAAGTCTGTGAACACCCCTTCTTTCTGTAATGGTGCCTCTGGCATAAATTCAATTTTTTGGAGGTGGGTTTTCTGGGTAATTGTGGGTAATTTTGGGTCCATCTACTTTAAAAACTCAGCGAACACCCCTTTTTCCCATAATGGTGCCTCCAGCTGAAGATTACTTTCAAGGGCTTTTAAGATCAACTCATGTTTTAGGGGGTATGTTTTCTAGATAATCGGCAAATCATCATTTTCAACCGTTAAAAATGTTGTTACAAAATGGACCGCAAAGCAGAACCCATGGCAGATTTATGGAAAATGGCATCAAAAATTTTAAACCTGGTCATACACCCAGTCATTACAAATTAACCTTCATCAAAACTTAACCACTTCCACATCGTTCATATGCTTTCATTTTGTGTTACCTTTAGCAGATTTTCAGCCACAGCAAACCAGTCGTCAGTTGCGAATAAGATCTTCCCCCCATTCTGTCAACAAACAAACACAACAAAAACAATAGGCATTATTTAAAAATTAAACAATAGCCCTGTTCTAATTTACACATGCAAAAAAACAACACTGTCATTTTTAAATTGCCATTTCGAAACAACCCTTTTTAAAACAGATACAAAGTGTGTATTCAAGAATTGATATATGCCGGGCATTGCGTCCTGGGATATTCTGCACAACAAAGCAGTTCAGAAAAATGTACACCTTGGCGGAGACTCCCAGAATCGTCACGTACGTCTTACTACAAGTTACACTAGTGAAGTTACAGAAACATCTTACGTGGCTCATAACTGAGTAACGAGGGGTTAACCCTAGGCTATATATTTTGGCTCATTCGTCTCCAAGTTTTTACCCCAAAACTATAGCAAAGACGCCCCCCCCCCGACTCATCCCCCGCCCCCGATTCGCCCGCCCGCTTGAGCTTGCATGGAGCAGAATGTTTGGAACGTACTCTGAAATTTGCAAGATCATTCAGTTCCAGAAAGTCCGGCAGCTGCTTGGAACTCTTGGTCGCGTTTGTTGGCCGTTCTGCCATGACATTTACTGCAACCGATCCCTGTCAAACTGGGTCAAATCAAATCATGGAGGATTATAAAACACAGCTGAAAAACCTGGAGCTAAGGTAAACAGCTGAGAGCCCGCCCTCAACGGGCACGGGTGTGATCGTGATCACGATTTCGCGTGGTGGGACTATACCACTTTTTCATCGGTAAATTAACTTTTATTTACAAATAGTTTGGCAATAATGAAGGCAATTTGTGAGATATTATTAATTCTTTTTATATGCTTGAAGTTATGTTACTAAATGGACATAAAAGTATGAGGAGATTAGAAAAGCCTTTTTATTTTGTGAAAATGAACAAGATGAATCACCCCCTTAACACATAATGGTGCTGACCGATTATCGTGCATGAAAAAAATGTGTCGAGTGCGTGCGGTGCGGTAATGCGACGTGTTCCGACGAATTCGTCAATTTGAGAGGGGAAAACCGGCAAATTCCGAAACGATTTTGGGTGATTTCACTCATATTAACATAAGTTGGTAAGTCACCTTATTTTCAAGGATAAAGGGTGAGATTATAGAACAAGATAACGAACTTAAAATTGTTCTCGAGACATGATATCCCTCGACCCTCGAATCTGCGCAGGTAAACAACGTGCGCGTGTTGTCACACACAAATTGAAGTTTAGTGCGTAGAAATAGGACCGCGCAGCTTTAGGGATACAACGCTGTATTAAAATTCCCATAGTCACTATGCACTAGTGCAAAAAAATGCCCATACTTCAAAATTCTTTTTAAAATACTCAGAACTCTTACAAGTTACAGTGTCACATGTATTGAAGCTGCACTGAAAAATGAATGATGCTAAACAGTAAACATGTCATCTTTCAATTTTCATTTTCTTTTCATTTTTTGGTGGGTTGACCATTGACTTTTCGAGATATTCTCACCCAAAGAAGACGACCCCTATAAGGTTTATCGCAAATACAAACCGCAAAGGATCATGGGGCTGCAATCGGAGCAACAGCGCCATCACACGGCGGTGGGAAAACGTACACACGGCATGCACGGCAATGCACGGTGCGGTGTGTACGATATTTCTTGGCTGTCCATTTTTCTGACGTTTTGTGTTCGATGGGAGGTGATTGTTGTGCTGTTCTGGGTTGCAATAATGACTGTTGTTATCCACAAAGGTATGATCTTTGTTATACATAAATTAAAGTTGTTTTGTTGTACAGAAAAAAAATGTTCTCACGACAAAAAGTAGGATAGCGTGCAGTTAAGTTCTGACCCGACGCGATCGCGATGTGCCGACGACCGGCACGCGACCGGGGAAACACGGGACACTCTGCACTGTCATGACTCGACTGTGTCGGCCAGTGCATTTAGAGTTTCTGTGCCCCTCAAAAGCTCCCTTTTATGACTCTTTTCTTATCGGAAAAATATGTGGCTTTTATAATGGTTTAATTGTTACTTCTGTCAGCGAACGATGTGTGACTTTTACAGACAATTTCATGATTGTTTATTTATAATAAATTATATTCTGTTCACGAAAATGTAAAAAAAAATATATACATGTATATATTTGTCCTAGTCAGCTAGTACTGTAGTAGGCCTAGCTAGCTAGCCTACTCCATTGTTTTACTCATAAAAATAATTGCGAAGTCTTATGTGGTTTATTTTTTCTCCGTCATCAAACAATAAATATCTCTATCTTACGTTTCCCCTTCTCTTGATAGATGTCATCAAAGAGCATGTAAACACACTTGGATTCCACTCATGCAGGGATAAGAAACACTTCCCTCTCTGGACACAACTGACCCAACGGCAGGATTTCAAAGTAAAATCATCGACTACAGTCTGCAGCAACCACTTCAAATACGGCCAGCCATATCCTGATGAACTTCACCCAACTTTATTTTTGAGAGGATACTACCTTCCCGAGACACCGAAAAGAGCACCGGTGAAGAGGCGATCATTGGATTTTACTACACCACTGCCGGCCATCTGAGAAAATCAAAACTTTGCTGTACCTTTTCTTAAGTTTTTATTTATTTTGTTCATTCTTACTCAAGGTTTGTATGCAAAATAAACCAAATTATAAATGGCATTAACCTACATGTACATGAACGGTCTTCACTTATGATAATGATAATAGAAATTATATCAATTGTAAAAGGTTTTGCAGGTTCATAAAAATAAGAGACATGTTTTATTAAAAATAATGTAAATAAAATTTGGAACAAAGTTGCACACAATAAGGATGTAGAAAATGCAAATTGAAATGATCAAGTCATGTTTTGTAAAAGTACATGAACATTGTTTAAAAATGCAATTATGACCTGCGTCTCTTGACGAGAGTTGAATTAATAGTAAAAAAACCTGGAAAATTGAAAATAAAACTGGCAAATGCAAGCCTACTCGAGTGTCATAACAAGAGTTGTATGAACAGTTGTCAAATATCAAGGAATGCGCCTACGTCCCTCAAATAAAAAAAAGCCGAGTCTCAAAACAACAGTTGGAATAAATAGGTGAAAGTAATTGGCAAATATGAGCCGTGTTTCAATAAAAGGCTGGCAATATTTGAGCAGATTCTCGTAAAAAGAGTTGGATAAAGTTTAAAAACTTGGCAAATATGACCTGTGTTTCTTAAATAACCGGTAGCCCCAATATTGGCACAAATTTACTTGGACGAATACAAGAAAACCTGTTTAACATAAAAAAACAATATAAAAAATACACAAACAGTTATTTACATACATGTACACTTGTAACTAGGTAGGCATGTTGGCTTAGAAATTGTGGCGATCGTGTAGCTACGGGCCCGCGACCTGTAAGGGAACAAAATCCACTTTTAAATTATTTGACCAACCAAACAAGTTTGCGATATTAAGAACATACAGGTATGTCATAGATAAAGGGCAGGGTTTTTAATTTTGGGGGAATTTTTTTGGGGGGGGGGGGGGGGAATGAAGATGATAACGACAAAACGCAACACGAAAATAAAGATGCCGATCGCTGCGCGATGTACCGTGAATGGCAAGGCGCACTGAATCGCACTGCACCACTGTAAACCGCGCAGGAAAATCATAATTTCTGCTCCGAGAAACTGTTCAAAAATTACACAAAAGTGTCATTATATTGAGAGAAGTCTGCTCTAGGTTGACAAGGTCATTTTGAGTAGTAAAAAAACACTCTTGACTCTAATTTTCTCGAAACCAAACGGGCCCTACACTACACGATCGCTGAAAGTTTTCGTGTGTGATCGCAGCCATCATTTTGTGTTGGTTGCGCGATGCGCGCTTCAACATCCGGGACTGCAAATAGTTATGCTCCGTTTTGCATCCCATGATGCTTTGCAACAGGGCGCCCTCTGTTGGTAGAACGCTATTTGCGATAAACCTTATTTTCCCCAAAGCAGAAAAGTAGCCATCTTGAAAAACGATCCTTTCACAACATGGCAAAATAACGCCAATTTTGAGCCCAATTGCATCTAAAACGCTCAGAATTGTTGGCCCCAAGTCCAGGCTAGAGGCTCTTTGCCATAATTGCCATATCTCTTCAATTCCCTCATTTTATGGCTCTCGGAACTCTCTAATATAGAATATTGTGAGGGTATAACATTTATTCATGAGCTCGGCAGATGGATTTAGGCCTATTTACTGGTGTGCACCCTTAGGGGGGGTCTGATGATAATTTATCCGTAAGAAAAATGCAGTGCCCATCGTTACGGCACTTGACCGTCTGGTTCCCTGACCTGATCATTTTCAGCGTCTGGATCTTTGGCTCTTGGAAGTTGGAACCAGACTATCGATCGTCATCAACCAAATGTTTTTCAAACTTATCTGCAAGTGGTTAAAAGATTCCCATACCTGGACATCACCTGACACCCTGTGCACAAACCCTATGAGACTGGTCTGAACAATTCCAAGTGTTTTCTCAGCAAATGTTTCAATATTTTCCCAGCTAAATTTGACTTTTGAGGACATGTTATCACTTTCTGATAGTGAAGACCATGTATGGAATTCTTCCTATTACTACTGCATGAAGTAGGACAACTCAACTGTTGTAACAACTTGACTGTTCGAAAGTCATTCGTTGTGCAAGTCAACTTCAATCAAATGTTGACTTTTGTTATCTTGTAAGGGAATGGATTGGTGTATGCCTGTTTTGATAGCTTCCCAGTGCCTGTAAAATGATGTTTAAGCTTAACGGCCAATTTATACTTTTATACTTTTGTTGCTTGACAGTGACATACATTTTTATTATAAATAAACTCATTTTGAATTTTGTCTTCAGGTGTATTGCAGGTTAACACACATTGAAGTCCTAGCCCTGGTCGTTCACAGGCCTCACCTAATGTCTGGCAGTGCCAACATTTCTGATCCTGGTCTGCGGGCACGCACCATGTCCTCCTTCCTATACCAGCTGTCTGCGCGAGACAGGGAACTAGACCTCGTCCATTTGGATCACTGTTACTCCAAGTCATGGAGCGCACACCCAGACGCCAGCCATGCCAAGCCGGCCCGGTTACTGTTTGTCCCAAGGACCCTCCGACTTCGCCAGGACAGACAAAACGTTGTGTACGTTCACTTATAATCTTTATGCAATCTCTTAACCCTAACACCCCCCCACCCCCAACCCTTCAAATTTCAACTGCATGGTTTGTATGATTCTTTGGAGCGACTAGCGAGTACTGCTCTAGTATAAAACTGATTATGCTTTACATGGGGTCAGGCATACCACCATAATCAGAGTCCAACAGTTTGGGTGTTGAGTTTACCATATGGTGTTGGATTTTGCAAGAGTGAGGAAGGTTCCTAGTAAATCACTCAATGGGGTTCAGTTAATCTTTTCATTTGTCCTAAAAACAAAATTCTGCTGCAGAGCTTGGTAACAATCTAGTGGACTACAGAGCTAATTGCCCCCCCCCCCCCCACCCGCAAAAAAAATTATCACAAGAATACCAGGGCATAAAAAAAGTTTCATTACAGTGAACCAGATATACCCATCGATGTTGTCACCCCTTCGCCATCCAACATGGTTGCCTACGACAGTGGGAGGGCGCACTCCGTCATGAACGAATGCCAGCGGCACGTCAACTTTGCACGCTCCAGCACGTCGGAAGTGCACACGGACGAAGAATGGGAGAAGAACCTTACTAAGTATGCATATGTGAACTTGCTATATTTTTTTTAACTTTGGGCCTTAGTTATGTGAACCTGCTGAGAATGAAAAGTTGCAGTGAAAATGAGTCGAATGTGGAAACAATTGTTTCTTTTTACATTTTTACTAATGAAGTGACCTTACTATACTTCACCATGCAGAACCACAATAGATACCACTTTTTAAGTGGGTGGTTTTTTTTTATAAGTTTTTAAATTTTGTAAATCTGACTTTCTGGGTTTCTTTCTTTCAGAATTGGATGGACCAATCAACAGAATAAGCTGTTTGATAAGATCATCAAGCACATGCAGTCAGAACGATTGGCAAGACTAGCTTACGATGGGGTGAGTAAGATTTAGGCAGGCCTTCATGTTGACCTGCGATTTGCTTGCGCTGGTCAAGGTGTTGTTCGATATTGTCCGCGATGGTATTTTGCTACTTAAAACGTAAACACTAGCCTGCGTGCTATGCACTGTACAAATTGTTGACAGGCACAAGCAAAATTGCAGGTCGACCTGAGGCCAGCCTTAAAGATTTCAAACTAATCCTCTTATATATGATAGATTCATTGTTCTGGGATGTAGAATCATGAAGAAGACGAAATTGTGAACATGTCTGAAGGATTAAGGGTCTTAAAAACTGGACACAAGTTCCTCAACAGTTTCAGAAAGAGTTGAATGCGTTCGCTGCCATTAACCTCACACTTACAGGGAGATGTTTCAGGTTTGTGTGCGATTTGCCCTGTTGTTTTGGTACTTCATGCCACACATGTGTGAACCAGTATAATGTCTTCTGTTTATAATACTTCTCTTTCTCAGAATCCTAATGAACCAGTGTTGAGGCGCATCCATCTCGACAAGTGCGCCAAGAAAGTCCGGAGAACGCTAGCCTCAATCGGATGGGTGAGATTGTTAATAAGACTATTATTCCATATTCCTATCACTAATATCCAATCGGACTACTTCTGTTGCATGTAAATTGTGTTATCATGAATGTGACATCTTTTTGGTCACTGAAACAACACCAAGCACAAAGTGTTGTAGTCAAGATACTTACGATGGATCACAAGTCATCATAAGTTCAACACAAGTCCATCACAAGTTGTCTTATTCCAAGTGAAGTCACAAGCTATTCAAAATAAACTATGATAAAAGAAATCCCTTGTCATTGTTCCTTCCCTGTTACTTGTGACTGGACTCAAGAATTGACTTGTGATTTACTTGAAGCCAAACATTTGATGTACTTATGATCCAGCATGAGTTGCTCCACTATGACATTGCTGGCGCATTTTCAAATATTGTGTCCGTCGCTTCTTTCAGGACGCAAAGTTGACACAGTGGCTTCACAGCGTTTTGATTGACAACCTTAGCTCCTCCCTCCTAGCTATATATCTGGACGTCTTACAGACTCTCAAATCGAAGGTAAGAAAGTACTTCTTGGAACCCTTACCCTCCCAGATCCTTCATAATCCACCAGGAGATTTTGGAGGATTGAGTAAGATAAAGCTAGGACACTATTCCTTTTGTTTTATTTTTCTTTCAGGTGCCGGCCTTAATTGATAAGATGATCAGCCTGTCTACTTCCTCCAATCGCTGCAGTGCCGCCAGCTCTGAAGCCCTGATGCTGTTGCTGAAAAGGCCGTGGGATCCCGCCATTGGAGTTCTTAGTCAACACAAACCGGTAACCACACCCACCCGTACCCCACCCTCATCCCTCATCCCTCTCCCACTACCCACCTGAACTTCCATCACCAACCAACCCTTGTACCACCGCACCGCCACCACGGCGCCACTCCAATCAACACACCCAACGCCACACCCACCCCAGCTCCCACCCCCACCCCAGCTCCCACTCCGACTCCAACATCGGTCCTATCCCCAACCCACACCCAGCCCAGCCATGACCCCACACGCACCCCAGCTCCCACCTCAGCTCCCACCCCCACTCCAGCTCTCACCCCATTCCAACACCCACCCTATCCCCAACCCACACCCAGCCCACCCTTGACCCCAATTGTACCCCATGCAAGGACATATAAAAGCTCAACCAGGTCAACTATCCCAAGGCCAAACAGCCTCTGAGTCTGAAGCTGCCAGCCACTACAGGATCCAACACTGCCATCGTTCAATAGTATTTGCAATCATGGTCTCGGAGTGGGCAGAAAACAAATGTAACAAGAGCCGACAGATCTGTACAACCGTTATGCCTTGTTGCATCTGTCAGAGATAGTGTCAAAACCTCATATTTCATTTCTTTGGATATTTATCTTCAACAGAAGAAGCTCCCCGGATCTCCACTGTTGGTAGTCACCCCCAGTGGCCCGTCCTTCCCCTCAATGCCTACGTCGCGCCGGCTGCGCTTCTGGAACGCCCAGTTAGCCAACCTAGGCAAAGTCATCCCTGTCACTACACACACAGTCAGTGGAGGTAGCAGTGTCGGTATAGCGCAGTGTTTGGAACACATGGTGGGCGCTGTGCGAACCAAAGTCATGGAGGTAAGTCAGAATTAATCTTGGTTTTGACTCCAGCTGGGACTTCACCGCTGGCTCCTAAATTATATCAAGTCAAGCCAGAACTGGAGACAACGCCAAGTTATCGTAAATTCCCCGTAGTCATCAAATAGTAATATTGGTCTCTTAAATCTTGCTCTTTTGAGCGTACATTTTTGCCAGTGAGGCGGTTAGGCCAGTACCCTCGACATGGAGTGCAATGGAGGATGCTGGCTTGGGCCACTCATTTGCATTAAAGGATTGCTTTTCAGTTTTCGAATTTTTTAAGGAATACACCCCCTGTTATAATTTGGCAGATTTTGTGTTAAATTTGGTCTGTGCAGTAAACTTGGTATTGTTTGTTGTTTTTATGGCAAATTCTGGAGTCAGTTTTAGGGTCACGTACAGCAGAATTCAGTGAAGAGTTTTTAGCCTTTGCTAAATTGTTGTCCCAAGAAACACTGCTGTTTAAAAAGGTTTTTCAGAAAAAAATACACAAATACACAGCAAAAGAAAGTTCACAAACTTACTTCTTTAAAACTCAAATTTGTGGCCTCCCGCTTACCATTGTAAATTTGACTTAACTTCACTACTGCGTATCTCTCAACCAGTGTACTGTTTCTAATCTTGCTTACTTTTTTTTTCTTTTCATCAGTTGAAGAGCCATTTTCCAAATCGACCCATTGTACTTATCGGTTGGTCAGTTGGAGCTTTGGTGGCCTGCCATGTAAGTTGGTCTCTCATTTTTACCTTCTTTGTCTAAATATCTTCAAAATGCAATCACCGATTCACTTTTTTTAACAGTAAACTTTAAATACATATTGGTAAAAAATCTACCCAAAAAATGACCCAACCCAAATGGCCAAAGCTAATCTTGAAGAAAAATAATGCAAAAAGTCAATGTTTATCATATTAAAAGTATTAAGATGATGAAGATGTGATACCAAGTGATATATTAATAGAAGGAGAAGAATATGGCTGCAGCTGTTTCATGCATTGATAATTGATAGCAGTTAACGTACAGTGATGCTCACATACTTCCAACAGGTCTCTCTTGTCGAACATGTAACAGCGGTGGTGTGTCTCGGTTTCCCAGTAATGGGAGTCAATGGTGCAAGAGGGGTAAGTTATAATATTTTTAATTCTATTGATATCTAGGACTGATTAAAAAAAAAAATCAAATCGCAGATCTGAAGAGTGTCATACATGGCCAATTGTCGAGGTGTTTGCTGATATTTATTTGGATCAAATTTACGTAAACAGGGAGTCGACGAACCGCTCCTAGACAGCAAGACCCCGACGCTGTTTGTCGTGGGCCAAGAGTCCAGCGTTTGCACCCAGGACGACATAGAGAACCTGAGAGAACACATGCGAGCGGAGACAGGACTTGTGGTGGTCGGAGGAGCAGACGAGAATCTCAGAATGTCAAAGATGAAGAAGCAGCTGGATGGAGTGACACAGAGCATGGTGGATAGATGCATTCAGGTCAGTCTTGGCTTTGATGGTTTGAGAGGTTTGAGTTGGTACATATGCATATATATGAGTCATTCTATGAATTAAGGGTCCAAAGTGTGACATTTTCCCTGTCTCTGGGCCTTGGTACTTTGTAATTTGCAATTCAAGTAGCATTAAGAATGACTTCAAATGATTTGTTGTTTCTTGGGTAGTAGTTTGCTATTCGTAATCATTCTTGGAAGATGACGGCATTCAGAAGTCAGAATTATAAACTCCTAGATGTTAGATGTAACAGGGACAGAAAAGCCACACTCCCTGGGACTTATGGGTTTTATGCAAGACAGTTTCCGCGAGCTGCACTTTTGATGGTTGAAAACGTGTTTCTTGTTTTTCCAGCACCTATAAATGAATCGCCCTTGAATCTATCCATTTCAAGAAATTACGACAAATGCAAATGATTCTTTGTACCTTCAATGTCCCTCAGGATGAAATCAGTGAATTCCTCTGCACCACCCTCACTACCTCTATGAACGACAACTTTGAACGGCCGGAGTTGGATCTGGACCACCGCAAGAGACGAGACAAGGATAAAGACAAGGAACGCAAGAAGCGTATCCACCGGGACTTGTCCCTGGAGCTGAAGGGGAGGAAGGCTCCGTCTGCAGGCAGGGGGCGACGCAGCAGCCTGCCTACTATGTCCAGTCAGGTGAGCTTGGGGAACATGTTTTAAGGACAAACAATTGGCATCTTTGCACGAATACCAAACAGTCAAAGGTTGAAATGCCCTTTTTTCAGTATTATTCTTTTTTGACGTGCGAATAAATTTAAGCAGCCATAACTTGTCAAGGGAATGTCCGATTGCAGTGCAACAAACAGTATTGTGAGGAGAATTTTATTCTCTTTCCTAATACTCGCAAACTTTCATTTTGACCTCTGCCCAGCTCTGTCTCATTTTGCCAGAACGCCTCGTAAATTTGGGACGAAGACATGCTACATTATAGAATAACTCGTTCTCATAGAATAACTTTATAAACCCTTTTCACTCTGTTCTTCCCACAAAGGAGTTTGCGTCATTCTCCAACACACAACAGAGCCTCCACAAGTCCCAGCCTGAGAAGGGCCTGAAGCCCGGCCAGTCTGCCGGGCCTAGCTTCGGGGAGAAGTACGCCCATTACCTGGCCAGCATGGCTTCCAACAAACGAGAGTCTAAACTAGACACACTTCTGAAAGCAGAGGGCACCGCTGATCATCAATCCAAAGATGGTATAGACGTCATTTAAGATTCATTTGATCAATTCCGTTGTTCTTTGCTTAACATGTTTTTGGACCTTTTATTGTCATTGTGCTTTTATAGAATTAATTGCTGCTTCATTTCTAATGGAAGCACAGACTTCCAACAAGGCTGGTACAAAATGATTTTAAAACCAGTTGAGTATGCTGTAATTTGAAGTCAGCATGGTTACTTGTGTTAAACAAATAGAACATGCCAACAAATTATTTCAATTAAAATTTCCTTAAACAGCAAGTCAAAGATCACAACTTTAGCATGAGAAAGCATCATGGTTTGGACTAACCATAAGACTGTAAACAAATGGTAATCTTACACTAGTCTGGTCAATTACGAACTTGCTCTTCCTTTACAAAAAGTGTAAGGAAATGTTGGAAGAATTTGAATTACAAGGGTTCCGTCTCCATGCAGTGCCATTAAGACTGTAACTATATGTAGTACAAGAACAAGTCATTTTGCTCAAGACTAGTTGATGATTTGCAACATTCCTTGTGCCTGCACGTTATAACTTAAGAGCGAACGTCTCTGGTTAAACTGAGGTCATGAAACCTCGCTGTCCCTTCTGTATATTTTAATACTTACTTTGCGGAAATGAGAAAGGTGTCACAAAATCTCTTTAAGATTTCGAATTTTATGATTTTATTTTCCACTCTCAGGTAAGGCTGGATCCAGCGGCTCCTACAAGCGCCGACGCAGCAAGAGTCCCACAAGCTCCAAGCGTAAACAGATCAAGCTGTCCTCCTTAGTTGCCATGGCAACCATGGCCGCCGCCTCTTCCTCATCCTCCCAAGACTCCATCAAGAGCCAGGAGAAGGCAGCATCATCCCAGGGCCTCAACGCCTCTGGTTCGATCCCTACCACCGTGCCTGGAGTAGCTTCCTCCAGACCATCTCTCCCGCAATTGGCTTCCCCCATCCCGACTTCGTCCCCCTTGGCCATCACAGCCCCCCAGCTCTCTGGTCTCTTACAGAAGGTCTCAAGCAGCACCGCGGGCAAGAGCATGACAAACAAAGGCGGAGAACTGGTAAGCTCATCTTGTATGGAATTGAACGAGAGTTTATAGGGACAACCCAAACTCTAGAGACGTTTTGCTAAAAATCTTACTTATCCTCCAAAAATTCTCTGTGTAGGAAGCCATTGGCAATTTTTTTTATAATTGTACCTCTCTCATGGTGTCAACTGTACTTCAACACACATGAATATAGGGACTGCATTCAGCATGACCATGTCCTGAAAACTACACCAATCAAACAACAGCAAAGATAGAGTAATAATCCTGTGCTTCAAATGATAACACTTAATTGTACAGGGGCGGATTGCAATGCCGCGGTCTGAGCCAGCTGGCTTAATCAGTCCGATTTTAGCCAGCTGTCGCTTTTAGACGGTCTGGTTCAGATACCAAACTTAGCCCATTGCAGCAAGCCGGTCTTTACTAAGCCTGCCTAGAGTCATGATTCACAAACAAACATTCAATTGTTACAGGCTGTACTGCTCACATTCTACTCTCGACCGTAGTACTGGACAGACTGCACGATTTCCCATTTGATGCGAAATCAAATCTGTCAATTTCGGGATTTCATGTCGAGAAAATTGTATGTGCAGTACAACTCGATGTCATTTTTTTCCAGAAGATTCCTTGTACTCTTGTTAAACCCTCTCACCAAGCAGTATTCATCTATTTCCATTATCAAATACTATCAACTGAAAAAAAGATTCTGGGAAAAAGATATTTCAACAATGAACAGAACATCCTACCTTTAGTCTGTTTTAAGCGAGCCCAACCCAGGCTAACTACTATCTTAACACTCGGACTGTGCCATTGCAATGGTCTAACGTATAGACTAATTGACAGCCAGAGCTTTAAGACTGGCTAAGGCGCATCGACTGCTTCAAGACCAGTATTGTACTCTGCCCCTGGTCTCCAGTCAGTTTAAAAATACCTAAGATGGTCTTTTTTCCCCCTTCCTAGCATTTGGCTGTGACATCTTCAGGGACTGGCACCAAACTGCAGGGTTCTGCAGGGTCATCGTCTTCAGGTATCGAGGGTTTGGGAAGCAACAGCGTAACGTTGGCACAGTTACAGCAGTTGGGCATCTTGCCCTCGCACATGGCACCCAGCACGCTGCTACAGGTAAAGTCAACCCAGAGAAGAAACTTTTCCAATTTTAATTGGAAATCTGACTTTTTGACTTTGCCAACAAAATTTTATGAAAACACTGAACATTTTTGTTTCTAGCTATAATAAAACAGGAGGCGGTGTCCAGAAATTGGGCATGAAGTGAATTGCACATACATGTACATGTATGTTTAATGTGTAGCTGCAGCGCGGCCCAGATTTCAGACATATATTTTTTGTTCGGCCTATTTTCTGATTTTTTTTCCACTATGCGAGTTTCATCTCTGAAAACCAAAGACTTACGTATTCATGAAAAGTTTGCAAAGAAAGGTTTCAAAAGGAGTTTTTTGTTCAGTTAGTGCTTGATATGTTATGTGTTCATTTCCATGACATTGTTGTAGTCAGTATACTTTCCTTTTTCAAGTTCCAAATGTTGAACACATTTCCTGATTATGGTGCAGGCCAGATTTTGCCATTGGCGTTAATTTTGTAACTTAACAAATGATTTCCTTGGCAATGAGAATATACTTGGTTTGTATTGTCGCTTAATTACAGGGCTTGAATTTCAATATCCAGCGAGAAAGCTCAAAATCTCCTGTTCCAAACCCACTTAGCCCAACACCTCTGGAATCTTTGGGTACACAAACCAGCCAGTCAACGACCACCACTAAGGCTAAGCCAAGGATGAGCACAGCGGGTAAGGTAGCACAGTCTAATAGCGGTGTAGCCTCAACCTCAGCCACAGCCTCAGCCTCAGCCTTATCAGAGCAGACTATGAACTCAAACCAGTTCCAGGCAGCCGTGCAGCAAGCCGCTCTGGCCATAGCTGGCAAGATGATGGCCAACAGTGGCCAGCTTCCAAGCAGCAGTGCCACAGGAGCCACTCCCACTACCAGCCAGGTAGCTTCCCTGGCAGGTCTTCTAAACATCCCACAACTCGTGTCGGCTGCTTTGAAGAGTGTGCCACCAGCCACCACAGACAGCTCTGGGCAGGCCACCCTGAGAGCCCTAGAAAGCCTAGCCGAGAGGAATCAAGAAGCTGCCGCCAGCTGTAAGGACCCTGGGAGTTCCACAGGCCACATTGTTTCCCCTGATGTAGCTCTACTGGGCCTCTTTGCCGCTCAAGGAGTGACTTCAACTGGCAAGCCCAGAGGTGCACCTCAGGGCTCAGCAAGATTGAAAACTACCACAGCCACCGAATCGCCAATCCCAGCCAAGAATGTGAAAATCGACAAGGAGCATGAGCAAGCCATCCAGAAGCTCCAGTTCCATGATTTCCCACTCACCACCGTCTCACTGACCTCCTGCGCATCCATGGGGACAGTCACCAAAGCCAAAATTCTGAACGACCTGGAAAAGGGCAATGTGTCGGCCTTGAGCAGGCTGGAGAAGACCCTTCTTGGCAAGCCTCCATCAGCCTCCCTCTCACAGCCAGCAACAATCTCTACCAGCGCTTCTGGATTAATAACCCAGAGTCTCATCTCAGAGGCTTCATCTTCAACAATCCCCTCTAACCAGACATCACAGTCAGCAACCACTCCTACCAGCTCCAAGACTGACATCAAAGCAACATCCATTGGCCCGGCAAAGGCAGGACCCACCACCAGCACCCCATCTGGGAGCCTCCAGCCCGTGACCAGCACATCAACCAAGACCAGTTCAGTTCAGGGGACCCTCTCATCCTCAATCCCTGCTGAAGTAAGCTCTTTGAATCATGGATTGTCCCAGCCATCCAGTGTAAGCAGCAGACAAACAACAACAACCAAAGGTACCCCTTTGCTATCCACTAGCTCCAAGCCAACCACCACATCAATCACCAACGTTCCTACTACACCTTCCACCTATAAGCCTCTGACAAGTAAATTCCAACCCAAAAATGTTCAGCTGCCCCAAGTCAATTTACAGCCAGGTAACAGAAGTGAAATACCAGGAGAGACATTTTCCAAGTCTCAATTCACTGGCAGATCTTCCCCCGTCGTGATCAGATCAGACCTGACCGTAGTGACAGTCAAGAAGGCCATTAACCAGCCTTCAGCTTTTAAACCGGCTCCCGTGGTTAAGGTCATCTCTGCCACCAAGCCAGCGGTAAAGGGACCCCACAGCTCTGCCACATCATCGGGGGTTACCACAATCAATCACCCAACCACAATTGCAATTTCCAAGACCAGTGGTGCCGAGACAAAGACCACCCTAGAATCGTCCACTCAGAAAATGATCCCTCTCTCTGCCATCTCTGGATCTTCCAAGATGCTCTCAAAGACTCCTCTGAAGACAGCAGGGGATGCAGACATCAAAGCGAAGGAGCATCAGCCACTGTCTTCATCAACTTCTAAGACGAGCTCAGGAGATGCAGGAGGCACAAAGAATACTCCTCCAGATTCACCATCCTCCACATCCCCCAGTGCCTCTCCTAAGACAGTCGGGCCAGGAGGTGATGCAGACAACAAGACCAAAGGCAGCCAGGGTGCTCCATCCACAGTCTACATGTCGACCCGTACCAGAAGGGTCCGCACACCTCGACAATATTCAGACTACACAGAGTAATGCCAAGTGGTGTTAGCCAGTATCTTAGATCTTATCATTCTCAATAGGACAGCATTCTCAAACTTGGCACCAATTAGGTTTCTAATCATCAATCCCATTAGGCACCTTTGGTAAATGATAGTTAACAGTAGGTTTCTCATCTCTGGAAAAAATAAATGAATTATTTTGGTCAGTTTTACAGACACACACATCAACTTTGTGCATAAATTACTGTTATACATGTAGTACCCTTGCTATCTGTCTATGGGTTACATACAACCATGTCAAAAATCTAGCAATGTTCAAAAGTTTCAGAAGTGATGGTCAGTTGTTGAATTTTGTTCCGAAAGTTTAACATTGTCTGGCAAAGATTGTCAGATTGTTACAAAGTTTTGAAAGTCAAACGAAGGACCCTTTACTACTGTGGTAGTATATTTCTTACTTGCACAATCAAGTCATTTATTTCTTTCTTTTTATGATGAAAATGATAGCACTAGTGTGGTTCTATTTCTGGCATCCTTTTTTTTGGGAGTAAAGCGTTTCCATCAAGCTTGCGTCTGTTCATATGGGTGTGTTTATAACTGAGCTAGGAAGGGCAATAGATCTTGTTCGTTGAGGCGGAGTCGGAGGGCAATGGTTTTGTAACGCTTGGATAGGCATGAGTAAACCTTGTGTGCATTCATTGTTACTAAATTTACAGAACAAAGGTCACTTTCTAAGACACCTGCAACGCTGAGGTCTACACATTGTAGAGAAGAAATCAGAGCAATTTATTTTATACTCTCAACAGCAGTCAAGATAATTAGGTTACATTTACTCCTAAAAGCATCCTAGCGACATATGTCTTATGTCCATCAACATTTCCTCAATAGAACTTGTTTCCTTCAAATAACCAAATTTCAGGAAATATTGATTTTTGGGCGAATTATTATTTCCCTGAAATAGCCCGTGTGGAGGAAATGAACTATGCACAGGAAATTTTGGCGGTGCCGGGAAAATTTTCTTGGGAAATTTGCTCGGAAGAAAGTAACATTGTGCATGCCTGAACCCAAGATGCGTGGAGAGTTAAGATTATCCATCAGTTACCCAAAGGCTGCATCTAAACTGGCTATTTTGAGGCTGAGGATTGGTTCTTGACTTGGACACATTTTACTAAATATCAGCCATAGAGAGGAACCGCCGTTTTCAGACAAAAGCCCTGTCCGCACTGGACTTTTTTTGGTCAAACTAACCGAGACTATGGGTACTTTTCCCATTTTAAGTCCAGTGCGGACAGCCTAGGACGTTTTCCTCTCAGTTACTTTTCCTGAGTCCAGCGGTTACTTTTACTGGCCAACTGCTGCCCAGGAAAACTTCCCACGCGCCCAGGAAAACTGACCGAGTCGCTTTTCCCGAGACGATTAGTCCAGTGCGGACAGTGCGAGTCGGTAAAAGCGGCTCAGGAAAGCGTACATCCGGCCCGAGCGCCCTGTTATGCATACAGAGACCGCACGAACCTGCACGTGCAGTGGCCGAACATTAGAAACACGCTGCGGTGTATTATCAAGTCCGAGCGGTAAAATCTCGTTAAAATATATATTTCAACGGACAAATACATACACAGAGAAGAGAGATCACATTCTGAGAATTAATTTGCGGAAATTCTCTTTCTCCACCGATGTATGTTATTTTCTACGATCCAAATTCGTCCTGATACGCTACTGTAGTCATGCACGGAACATCATGGTCCGGTACCGTACGTAGGCCGTAGTCACTGGTTCCTGGCCCACATCATAGCTTCGATTCTGTAAGCATGCGATGGGAACCAACGAATACTGATGGCACTGCTGCCGCACGGAACATCGTACAGCGGCATGGCTTCGACGACGTGCATCACAAATGCGTCAGAATTATAGGCCCTTTCGTCAAGATTTAGCGTGTCAAGATGAAATAATATCGTGTAAACGATTATGTTATGCATGCAAATGGCGTGTGTAATATTACTGAGCGTATCGGTGGCTGAAAATGTGATCGGCAATTTGTTTTCTGCGTACGGTGAGTCATTATACTGACACTGTGACAGCTCGGTTACTTCTCCCACGCAGTCGGGGTAAAATTTCCCGTGTCGAAAGTCCAAGTGCGGACAGTGGTCACATTTGACCATTTTTCATTTTACCATCGTCTCGGTAAAACCTTCCAAAAAAAAAGTCCAGTGCGGACACGGCTATAGCCAAAGAAGGTTTTGGAAACATTGATTCCATTTCAGCTTTGGCTGCAGGAGATTAAAGGCCTTGAAGTGGGGGGGGGGGGGGCAGATGCGGCTTTGCCAAGGTTCATGTCATGCTTCTGGATCAGGGTACATGTAGTTGTGTTTTAAAATAGCATGCACAATGGTTTCTCCATTGAAGGGGGCCTCGTGAGAGTACAGTGATCATCACGCGCCAAGATTGGGGTTAAGAAAAAAATTTAAGTCGTAGTTTTGCCTGCCACTATTAATAAACACAAGAGGGGGCTACATACATGTAAAATATCTGTCTGTACATTTGACTGCGGCTTGTAAATTCTGTACATAGCTTTGATTGAGTTTCTAATGTCACGCTGTCTCCATAGATGCTCAAAAATTGATGATAAATATTCATTGAATGTGAAAAATTTGTTCACAAAAACATAACGATGGATTCCTTTTGAATAAATACTCCAAGTTTGATGACTTCTCTCCAGAAGATGCAGTAAAACGAGGTTCTTATTTTATCCATGGAAAAAGCCTGAAAAACAATATGTTTTATCAATCTTTCCATCTTCGTAGAACTAGAATCATTTCCTGTGTATTCTCATTTGTCTTTAAGCTGAAATCTTATTGAATATAAATTGTGAAAAAAATGTTTGTGTAAGCTAAACAAAAGTCAGGCAAATTGTTTACATGTTATACATGTAATAAAACATGTTTTGGTTCAGTGAACAGTGTTATAGTGATGTGTTTTACTGTGTTGAGTGACATAATTGCTGGAAACCTATTACACTTCTCATAGGTGTTTGTTTGTTTTTTTGGGGGGGAGGTTGGGTTTTTATTATTTTTGTGTTCGATGTCCATTTTTTTTTTTTGGGGGGGGGGGAATAAATTGTTTTAATTGTGCCATTTTTCAACCTTGGTGCCGTTAATAGAAACACTACTTAATCGCAGATGTCCTTTTATAATTTGGTTTGGCCAGAAGAGGCCTACATAGTACATATTCTCCATGTTCACCTCCCCATATCCGCCAACATTCAGCACTTTTTTTATATTTTGAAGGATTCAGGCAAATTTGTATCATTGTCACATTTTACAGTATCTTAACCGTGGAATGGCTGTTGAAGGATTCAGTACAGAGTATTTCAGTGCTTCTTTGAGGATTTAAAGTCGAATTTGCTATATTTTGAAGGATTCAGACATGTTCTTTCGCAAACTCAAATTTTGGTTTGGAAGTAGTATTGGTTTTGATATATTGGTAGTTTTTTTTGGGGGGGGGGGGGGTGGGACGGTGGTCACCACATGTTTGTGTATTCCATCTAAAATTTCGTCTTTATATTTAAAAAAAAAATTGATCAAAAATACTTGACGGCGATTCTACCCACGCTACATGACAGGCATAGTCCAAGTATCACCCTCCGCCAAGTAGCGAACCGGCAATAACTGTTCTTCCTCCCCTCCGATCCATTCTCGTGCCTTTCGCTCCCCCACAGCGTCGCAGGTGTGTCACATACCCGGGCCACATCAACTCTCCCCCGGGACACGTGGTGAACAAACACCGCAGTGACGGTTAAAAAACACGGGGGGAGAGATATTCTATCCTGACCATAGATGCCGTTTTATGTTCAAGAAAAAGAAACGAAGACCAAGCTCCGGGCATAGCGAAATCGTTGGCGCGCGCTGACTCCGCTAAATGTTTGTTCAGCGCCGGTGTGTGAAACCCAATTTATGTCTTAAGTTCATTGTCTCTTATATTGCTAGAGAGCAGGTGTTTTCCTCGAGTCCCTGCCGATTTTTTTTTCTTACTGTCTTTCCTTCGTCGTCTACTTACCTCATCTCTACTGTTCCTGGTCAAAACTGAAGAGGGGCGCTTGAAAACCTTTTATCGGTGGAGACTGTAGAGTGAGTGGAAAGGGTATTGACCGCTGGCAGCTTTTGCGAATTGTTTGCTGTTTGGTGGAAAATATTGACGGGTTGGATTCTTTTCTAATTGAATTTGAAAGTCCCTCTTTCTTAACAGAACATCCTTGTGGGTTCCAGTTCCATTGTATCTTGTGGCCCTATCAATTGATGCAAAATGAAAATCTGGTTCGTACTAGCCTACGCCACGGCTGGAAGAATTAGAACGGACTAATCAGAATAATGTCTTTTTTCTTCAAAACCGTCCCATATTTTTGTTTTATATTGTTTCTCTCGTAAATTCTTAATTTCCCGAAATTCATGTTATCAATGCGTACGGAGTGCTGTTTTAAATAATGAGCTTGATACTTTTATTAGCGACACACTGGCTATAAATGCGCCATGTATTTTTGATTTGAATGTTCGGCCTAACTCACACAAATTGTGTGACGATCGCTGAACGGTCTCATCTGCGCGTCATCAGGCGGTCAAGCATGCATAATTATCGCCGAATCTGCATAAATAATTATGAAAGCCGTTCGTGCCTTCCTCGGACTGTAAAAAGCAAAAAAGACCACTATCATAGAGCGCCCCATTGGTAGAAAGAGACATGGAGACATGACTTTTGAGGGAAAACTTCATGATGCTGTATCGACTTGAGGACTGAGACGAAACGCTCTGCAGTTCTGTTGTTTTACCCTTGCAGGAGGCGCCGCTGCGCTATTACCTTACGGACGTCTCCAGACTTTTCGGCAATTCTATACCTAACATGCCCGTGGGCATTAAGGGAAAAAGAAAATGCTCTAAAAACTGAGGGAAGAAGACTTCCACAAAAGAGCAAATATTGACTTTGTTTTTGCTCTTTTGAAACTTAAGCCGGACAGAAGTATAAAGGGTGTCCTGACTTTGCCCTTGATTTACACAGTGTTTAGAACTCAATATGGAGTTTGTTTTTATTTTGGGTTATTTTTTAAAGAGAAGCTAGTCACGTGATTACCGGCATGTTGACACGATTGTCCAAGATGGCCGTTTTTTTACAAATATGAAAAAATCTGAACTCAAGCGTGTCAGGATTAAATTGTCAATCTTTGATTTCATTTCAATCAAAAGAGGGCGCTATTACGAGTCGGCCTTTTTATGCTTTTATCTGCGCTTCAAATCGCTAGGGGAGACTGTTGTGAAATTTGGGTCAAACTGGCTTTTCTTGCGCGACTAAAACAATAGAGGGGAACAAAAACGAATCTGGGAAAAGTTCATTTCAACCAGAGAGTATTTTTACCTCATTTTATTCAGTGCGAAGGGCATGAATCAGGGAGGATACACCGCAAATTGTCTCTTGATAGCGATAACTCATGAAATTCAGATAGACATACATCCCATGGGTTTTGGAAAAATTACAGCGTTCACACTGACTAAGGCAACCTGCTACCCCATGGGATCTAGACACCTTCTGTCAGATGAAACGTGAGAGTACACAGCGATCATTCCCTGACCAGAGCTCATGCCTCAAATTCATGAAAAAATAAAATTCCAAATACGCCTCGGTGAATTAAACAGTAGCCTGCAAAAATTAAAAAAAATCTCAGAATTTTGGGAGGAAATGTGTTCTAGTCACGTAAAGGGTAAAACCTGCCATCATATTAATGATGCGCGATAAATATTGCAACGCGGTACAGCCGTGGAAGATTTCAGCGGTGCGGGGAAATCTCAGCAGCCCGTGGGGGTTTAGGTGACGCCCGACCGGTCCGGAGGTGCCACCCTCACGTCCCGTACTTTGATTGCTTGCCTGTTTAACTTGCACGGGGGTGCGTCGCGCGTGAGGGGACGGACGGAATATGAAAAGAGGCGACTGGGTGGAAATATCGTTCACTTTCAGCGCAGCCTTATGTTTTCCCTTGGTTTAGGGTTGTTCGTGCGTGCACACTGTAAAAATGTAATCATCGTGATAAATAGATGTGACCAAGCCAAGACACTGCAAAAACTGCCCTCTTAAACTTACACTATATGGAAGAATGGTTCAAAGTTCGCTACACTTAAGTGTCTGATTGCTCTGTGTACAACAGTAACATGTTTGTTTTTAATATTGGGGACTGTTTCGGGAGACGCAATGCGGGATAGAACCTTTGCATGGCAGCCATCTTGGAGGTATTTTGCGCCACATGGATACGCACGAGTAGACCTTGCGTTCATTTACTTTTCACGGGATTAAAATGAAGGGTACCCCATACCCCCAAGATGGCTGAAGGTATGCAAACGGTCTAAAATGGTTCTTGTGGTCTGCTGCACCAGACTCTTCACCCAATGAAGATGCAGCATTCTCTTCAATTTTGAATTTGAAAGAAACAAAAGTTAATTTACACTAAAATTCTCGAAGACTACTTTAACAGCTGGTGCTCCTTCAACAAATGACATGAAAATAATTTATCTTATTGAATCGATTGCACAATAAAGGCCAAAACTTCAGGTCTGAGCTTTCCGTGGCATCATTCGTATTCTTTCATTTCCCGATGACAAAATACACACGTGCGCTTGCTTGGAACATGAATATACGAAGAGAGAAAAAAATATGGCTAGGCCATGAATCAATGTCTGTATGCACGGTTCAGCATCGGGCGGTTTTATGCACCCAACTCGGCAACCTGATCCATATTTTTGCTCCGAGCTACTCGGACTAGCCGGCCGGAGCATTGATTATTGGTCCCCCTTGCTCCTCTGCCCTCCCGCGCCCGGTGCGGCCCGGGTAGGGAGAGGAAAGAGGGCTCGGGTGTCGCCTTGATGATGTCGGAATTATGACCATGAGATAGTTTGAATAATATTGCCTGGGAGACCGACTATATGTCTTAGATGCTGTTCTGGCTGATGATGGAGAGGTTGAGTTGACCGATTAAGTGTTTGTGAGAACACGCGTGTGAGATAAACTGAGGGGGTTCTTGGAGGGGTGAGTGAGAGGCCAGGGTACAGGCAAGATACCTCCCAGATATGAACAAATTGTGGTTGTCCACACGCTATGTCATACAAACCTGTCCGAGACGGGACAAGTCATTTTGATGATGAGCTGAAGAGGTTTTTTTTTCTTTCTTTTTTCCCCCATGCCTAAGACTTTCATGAACATTTGCACAGTAAATAAGGACTTCAAAAAAAAAGAGGAAGTGGACAGAAGATTAAAAATGTATCAATCAGTTTCCTCATGATGGAAACAGTCGCCTGTGACAAAAAGCATAATATACGTATTTATTAATTCGGGGTCGGGGGGGGGAGGGGTTATTGCTGATTGGTCCACAGACTAAGAATATTGTGAGGGGTGGTAAAAGCGACCTCCTGTGTTTGTATTACAGCGCCCTCTTGTACGTGAGTGCAATGAAACAAAATGTAATTGTAGACCCGTTTGTATGACTCTTGCAGTGGCGTAGCTAGGACTTTTTGAGTGGGGGCACGGGGGGGGGGGGAGCATCAGAATATCATGGGGGCACATATCGCAAACGTCCTATTGCAGTTGTTCCCAGTTGGGCCCCATAATGCCTCGCTATACATAAGAAATTGTAAACAGTAAGTCTTTGGCTAACTGAAAAAAATACAATTTACAAAAACCTTTTGGTTGGGGAGAAGGAAATGAGGCATTATCAGTATTTTGGTGGGGGCACCGGGGGGGGGGGGGGGGCACGGAAAATTCACATGCCCCCCCCCCCCCCTTGGCTACGCCACTGGACTCTTGACAAGCAGTATAACTTTAACCAGCTGTTGTTGAGCTCTAAAGGTGAAAATCAGATGATGAGGAAAGTTTTACCATGGCCAATGTCGTTGTCACTGTTCCCCTTATTTGATGGCGCCACCTAGCGTCCAACAATGACAATCTCCCATTAAAAAAATCCATCATAAAATTAGTTCTCCAAAATAATCACATAATGTTCTCCCTGGCACCGCATCTAGCATAAATCGTTTCTAATCATTTTAATTCCATCGTCCTGAATAATTGTCGTTGGTTTCCTCGCCCGGCTTAACACAAACTGTGGACGAAACGCCATTCAAATCAACTGGTAGACTGGTACCCGCTATAAGAGAAATCCTAGGTGTTGTATTTCATCATTGAGTGATATCAAATTCTCCTAGATCTCAGATTTGAGTGGTGGCCCGTGCCTATTGACTTCGCTCAAGAGGCTTCGGCAAAATCCGTCCAAAGGCGCAAAATTAATAAATGAATTGAAAAATGTAAATAGATGTACTGTCTGTTTACGAACAGAACAAGAACATTTCGTGGGATATTAACTATTGATATATGTGTAATATAATTAATATATATTATGAGTTGGAAAAGAAATAGCAGTTTTTTTGTAGTTACATGATATGGTTTTTTTTTAATATCTTGAAAACACTCACAAACAATATCATGACGTCACTTTACATATCATGGCGTCAATTTACATTTACCTAATTTTTTTTAAAATCAAAATGGAGGAACATGATGACTTTGCTATTTCCTTGAGTCTATTTTGCAGCGAATATTATTTTTTAATTCAGAAATCACATCTGTATCTGTATTTTATTATAATCACCTTAGGATCGATATTACTTCGTCAGGGGTAGGCCTAACAGGTCACAGGGTACTGAATGAAAAACAGCCCTCGGGTATTTATATGCATCAGTTGGACCCGGCTGGTCTGCACGCTTTGAAAATGCATGCACCGAGTCCCCTTCCATGTTCATAATTACAAGGAGAGTCGATATTATGCCCATACGGTTCGCGATCTCATGAAAATTGAGCTGGCGCGCTATTGATTTTGATTCCCATCAACGGTTATGATTTCTGCTCATAAAATGCGGGTATATAGCCAAGCTCCCGGTCGACCTGTGTAAGCTGTTGAAAATCAGAACGTGTTTCATATTTTTATGGCTTTCACTGAGGGGGAATATTCAATATAAACAAGTGTTGTTGCCTGGATGAGAGAGCTGATAAAGAGGGGAAGAGTGGGAAAAGGGACGGGGGAAATAGATTGCAGGTCGATCGAAGGTTGAGCAGCATCAGCAATTGTAGCAAACAGCCCGACGGCGGGTTCTGTTTACTCTGCACACGGCAAATATTGTGTAGATATCGGGTCCAGGGCATTGTCAGCGAATAGCGCCCCGTGGACGGGGCCCCGCGCCTAGGTTTTTGATTGCTTACTGGTTGAAGCCAGCCAGCCAGCCAGCCAGCGCTAGCCTGCACAGGTGGCTACAGGCACGAATGCTAATCACTGTCAAAAGCAAGCGACAGATTGAGGCGATACAATCACGATAATAAGGCGCGGATTATGCACTGCCATTAAACACAATATCAGCGCGGTGGCCCCTCTGTACAGCTGACATCTGGTTGAGCCGCAGAACGTGCTCGCACATGCGATTGTTGTAGATCACTGCGTGTGTGTTCATGTCTGCTATGGGAGTGTGTGGTGTAGGTAATCGCTGGGAAGCTATATAAAAGGCAAGGACAGACGAGCCACCCAAAAACATCTTGCGAAACGCTGGCTGCATTATTATTTGCAAGCCTAGAGGTGTAACATCATCGAGAAACCTCACAGCTAACCCGGGCGAGCACAAGTGCACATATAAACACTGCGGTCGGCTTCACACAGAGATTTTTAGCAATCTCTTCATTTAGTTTTTCCCAAAGAGCTCTATGGTTTTTCGAATTTCATTTTCCGCAGGAATGTGATAATCATCGAGGCGTTCACATTTGGAGGTGAAGTCGTTCACAGCCACCGCGAAGGTTTTATGATTGCAAATTGAAAAGAAGTAGAAAACCTCAGCGGTATTTGATGATGATGATGATGAACCGACGGACGGAGTGAAACCCTACCGAGTTGTGTCCACAAGTTGGACGGCTGAACCAGGTGTGCTCGGGTTTCCAATGCTAGAACAGGCGATCGTTTTACTCCGGGGCAAGTACTGTGTGTGCGTGTGTGAGCACACCTAGCGGTAATCGGCCGGAGATTACATCCGCATATTACGCATCGCATTAGGAATTCTCGGAGCCTCTGAACATCTGGACTGTCTGGCTTGAATTGGCTCGTGTCGAGTGGCTGGCCAGGCGGGCTGGATTACTCCGTAACTGTACGCTGTGTACACACATATCACACGCACACTCGGCTCACAGCAAGACATGATGTAGTGGAACAGTGCTACGCGGTGAAGAAACAAGATAGTATTCCGAGGAGAGAATTGATCAAGAGGCTGGACATTTTATCCTGTAAATTAGGTGTGTTTCTGTTGTTTCAGGGACCATCCTGAGTTAAAGACAATGTCTTGGGAAAAATCGCCAAGCCCTGACGGGCATCACCAGGAGAGAGGAGAGGGTCGCTCCACGAACCCATCTGAAGAGAGGAGTTGTAAGGAGGAACAGGACTCCAAATCGGGGCAAGGTGGATGCAGTAAAGTAACCCTCTCGAGTGTTTCCCCCGTCGGTTCCAATTCGAGACGCAATAAACGGAAGCAGAGCGAGCCCAGACGGCTCAGCACGAGTAGCCTCGTGGTCAAGGAAGAACCTGCGGACGCTCCGGACCACCCAGATGACCAAGGCCGGCTGACCGCTCCAGGATTGACCATCGAGACCGAGGACGATTACCGGTGCGGTGTGATCATAGACCGGCGTCGGTATCAACACCAATACCACCTGGGTGGTGTGGAGGAACTGATACCGGAGAATGTGTTGTCCTTACAGGGTCACACTAGCAGGGCTAGTAACTCAAGTGAAGACAGTCAAGGGTCGACCGCAACCTCCCTCCCCATGCACTCTGTGATGATGTACGCTAGAGGTAGCGGTGGTGATAGTGGTGGTGGGATGATCAGCGATGAAGCTAAGAGTGACTTAGATGATGCCACGGGGTCTCAAGGTACCTGTGCCGACTCTCCGGAGCTTATGATGGAGGAGGGCGAGGCGATGGACGGTGATAGCAGAAGCAGCCACGCTGAGGGTGCCTCCCCAGACTCCGGTGCGAGTTCCTCCCGCGGCGGCTCCTCATCCACCCGCTCTAAGAAGACGTCTCGGTCTTACAAGAACCTGAGCCGGTCCCGTCGGATCGTTGCCAACGCACGAGAGAGGAACCGAGTCCACACCATCAGCGCGGCCTTCGAGGGTCTCCGGCGGGCTGTCCCTTCCTACTCCCACAACCAGAAACTCTCCAAGTTGGCTATCTTGAGAATCGCGTGCAGTTACATCTTAGCTCTGGCTAACTTAGCTGATATGGACTATTCTCCAGATCATCAGCAGATGTCTTTCAGCGATTGCGTGGACATGTGCACGAGAACACTCCAGTCGGAAGGGCGATCAAAACGAAGAAAGGTACAGACCTAGGTTATTCTAAGCTCTAACTTGCTTGTCAAAAGAGGCAACACATCCGGACGAATCCATGGGAAACTAAATCTGATATAAAAGATTTGAACTTTAATAAACCACTGTCGTGAAGCAAAGTAGAACTTTATTGGTCGATCAAATACCAATATGACTTTGTTCGCAAGTTGTTTTAAACAAACAAAATAATTTTGGCATCGAGAACCGAAACGGGTACACTTTCTCATGGAATCGACAACTTGTCACTTTTGCAAACAATGGCATTAAACCCACATCCACTGTGTCTCCATTCCCATTGTACACTCAACAAACAGAATCGTTTTAAAAGCCGCCATTACCCGTCAATTCGAAACTGTTCTCCATTATCTTGGACGCTTTTAACTGGCTATTATGCGCTGTATGGTAAAGCACATCGCCCTCTATCGGTCAATGTGAGAAAGTTTATTTGATTTTTTCCCATGCCTGTAAAAGATATGAGGTTGTTTGGAGGGCCTTGCTGTCTTAAAAAATAAAATAAAAAATCTACAGGGCAATTTGGGATTGAAGTTGCTGGTTTATCACCTTTTAGTTTAATTATGTTAATGGAGCCTCTTAGTCATGTTAGTTTTAAATTAGGATTTATAAATGATTATGCTATGTCCGAATTGGCTTGGCTACGGCTTGAAATTGCACACGAGTCTATGGGAAGTGGCTGCAACGGCTACCATAGACTCATGTGTAATTTCAAGCCGTAGTAAAGTAATTCGGACATGGCTAAATGTGCACAGCTGCAATCAGCAGGGAAGGAGGCCGTCAGAAGCAATGCCAAGAATACTGGACATTTTAGCCCATTTTTGTCGAGCAACCATTTTTAAAGCAACTCCACAAAAGTGCCCTAGATCGATTGCATACAGCAGCCATTTTGGAGGTGTGTTTTGTTATGCTAACTCATTAACACTGAATGCACAAAGAGTCTACTCGTGCGTATCCTTGCTGAACAAAAGCACACACCTTCAAGATGGCGCGATTGCAAACGATCTATGCAGCAGATCGTCGTGCATTTTGCCATGTTTACACACAAAAGGGGCGTGGCGGTGGGCCGTTTGTCAATCTGATTTGCCATGACTGTGTCAAAGAACAAAAGCAGGAGTTGAACTCTCTCTGTTTGCTCAAAACTCCCACCAACCAGCTGTTTACAACACGATTTGGCTGGTCTTTGGAAACACTCGTCAAATCATTGTCGATGATTGACTCTTTGAACTTGGGACGGCACAAAGTGATTACAATAATTGTGTCGGTCTGGCTTCGCCGTACCTACAGTGTGATCGTGTTATTAACTACCCGCGCCGCTATCATGAATGCGACGCGCCTAATACCACCGCACTGGAGCAGATGTTAACCCTCACGCCGACGGAGAGAAATAAACCTACATTTATTAGTTTTCCCGCGAACAATGGCTGATGGCGGGAAACGACCTTGGCAACAAATGCCTTTTGTCGTGTTGGTTTTTTTCTTCCATCGGCGGCCTGGGCGTAAATTTAATTGTGCGGGGATGAATGTGTTGAATGCATAATGTTCTCTAATTCGAGTACATATCGGTCATTATTAATGAAGCCATCGCATACGCTTTGGATGACATTATTTCGTAATTTCGTATGTAAATCGCCCTATTTTTTTAATGGCAGAATGTTGCCTAAAATTGATTTGAAAATCACCCCCTGAAATTAGTGTACAAAATTGTTGCCGCGTTTCAGTGTATAATTTATCAAATAAATTCAGCAACAATAATAGGTTTCGCGAAGATTTGGGCAATTTGTTTTTAATGACATCCTTTTGAAATTGGCTTCAGTTGTACGCAAAACGTTTTTATCCTAATGCACATTTTAACGGCACAACAAACAAAATGAATCGCAAACATTTCCACACTAGATACCTGTTGAGGTGTGGAGCCAAACTATTTTACATTTCACAATTCATACAAACCCGAAAACATTTCACATGCCAGATATCGCCTTAGTGTTGGGTTTTAATTCATGCAGCTACCTTGTTCGTATTTGTTTAATTCGGCCATCTGACGACAAACAACAAACGCGATCTGCCATCATGGAAACCCAATATATCACGAGACCTGATTAATTCGAGGTATTATAAACTATATTCCGCCACCGGCGCGCCCGGAATGTGCTTTCGATTCGAAATCGGTCCATGGGGACATAAGACCTTTTTGCTGGGGGTTGGTCCCGGCGATAACTTCCAGATTTTCGCGCTGTATATTATTTTATGACAGAAAACATGACTAATTTGCATTGTGTGCGGTTTGTCTCTGCTGATTGTGGCGACCTTTAGGGTTGCGAGTCTGGACGTGAACGAAAGGAAAATCGACCATAAATTTTGTGCAAGTGTTATTCGGGAGTTTCGTTTGTCGACGTGGTTTTGTGACTCCGTGTCTTGTATTCCATGCCGTGTTGGTGGGGCGTGGAGTTTGACTTTGTTTAAAATATACTTGAACTTGTAAAACGAATCATGTGCGTATAGATATTATGTGCCGGAACCCCAACCATCGTGACCCCACCCCACCCACCCACCACGCCCCTGTAAGGTCTGTATAAGGATTTTTCCAGCTGCCTCCCCCACCCCACCACTACCCCTTTCAGAATCAACGTACTCTGCTTCATCAGCATCACGTGATCAACACACTGATGATCACGTGACATTTGATGTTGCGTATTGTACTCTTGAGCACATTGCCACCTGAACATACAGAAAATATTTCAGAAGCATTTCAAGAACAAACGGGAATATAAAACTGTCGTCAAAAAGATTTATATTTCGCCATTCTGTTCAGGGCTATATGTTATCAGCCATGTCAAACATGCTCTGAATGATGTTCCTTCTGGATTATGTCCATTCAATAACGGTGAAGGCCTAAAACTGCATTCCTTCATTACACTGATTAAATAAATTAAGCTTAAATGCGTCAGGTTTACGTACATTTGTACATTTTCATGAAAATGTCGTCAAAGAAAAACACTGAGGGTGGCCGGATATGTAGTTTTTCCCTCCACATTGTTGATAGACGTTTTGACACGCACAATTCGCGTGAACGCACACTGAATCAAGCATGCGTGGATTTATATCAAAACTGCAATAAATAATTTGTGACAGAAATGTGTCTCGTCGGTTACGAAATGTTTTGTGAAAATCCTTCCTTTCTGTGAATCACTTGTACAGTGATTGCCATCTTTGTATACGGGTTCCTGTATTTGGTTGACATTGACAGCCTCTGATAGGGCCTACGCCGAACACGAGCTGACCCTTCTTATTAAATTCAGAGCAAACACTAAATCGCTAGTTCTCCACTTAGTCAACCCTGCATAACTTTCCCTTTTCCCCTTTCACAATCGTGAATCACCGAACGACCTACACATTCACCCTCCTTCTCTTGGAGCTAGTGACGGGTGACTGATGCCAATTTGTCGGCCGGGGTCGTAGGGCCAAAGATCGGTCGCGCCACGAACATTCGTCAGTCGCCGAGAGAACTTTACTCCGTCAGGAAAAAAATAACACCACTGATACAAGTAACATTCCATATTGCAAGTTTTGGATCTTTACGTACGACCCTCTCGACAGAAATTAAATAAACAAGGACTGTTTTATTTCCCCAAGGTTCAGCAGCGGTACCGCAGCCTGGCGAAGAAGTAAATAAAGAGACCGAGAATTTGATAGGGTGTCGGGTGATGGAATGGGTACTTTTCAGGCGTAATGGGGGCCAATGGGTGCGCTACAAAAATGTGTGGGGTGAGTCTGGAAGGTCAGTGACTGGTACCACCTGTGAGAGTGATTGTTTCGAGTGATGATCAATTATTGTATTTTTTGGCTGGGAGTGGAGTCGTCAACTTTTGGGGGCGATAACTGGCGGCGACAGCGGAGTTACGAGCTTAGAAAACCCAGTTTACGGATGTTTGAGCACGGTATGCAACTTAGGAATCCTGATTATGAGATTGGTTATGTGCTTGAGAGAACCTTATTCAAATCACCCCTTACAGAATCAGCAAACGTGCTCTAATTGCCACTTTCAATCATCGATAAACCTTTTAGTTTTTTGCAGGTCGTATCTCTGTCATTTTTGGGTGATATGATTTCCGGGGTAAACAGGAACCATTGCAACTGTACTTCCACCTGCAAATTGCGATAATAGGAACTGTGTTCTACCCGAGGTTGCAGTATGCCTACGGCTGTTCATGGTATCATTACAAGTTCAACATGTTTGTGACATCCGGGTATGGGGTTTCTAGCCACAAAACAAACTAACCACCGAAAACTGTGTCGGTGATTTCCTTTTCCGTTCTTGTGGAAAGGAACACTATATACTTTACTGGATTTTGGACAAGTGTTACACTAAGATAGTGTGCATCAACAACCAAAACCCATTAAGGTTAAAAATATTCAAGTTCTTGATCGCAGGGCCTAAGGTTCTGTGAAAATCAAGATATAAAAACATCTTGCAATCAACTTTTCTTATCAAAGACTTTTGCCTATATTAATGTGTAGGCCCTATATGTAGCTTCATATCGCGTTGTCGATATCGCAATGCTTTGATAGAGAATCCTCGCGATAATCGAATCGGCGGTAATGCGATAATATCGCACAAGCATTACTCTGCTTACCCCTATATCAACGTTAAAATAAAATGCAGGAAAAAATAGCAAAAGAACTGTTCCCTTCAACACGTGGAACAACATGGAAAAAAATTCTCCAGGATTACATTACGAAAACTTGTCTTCCAAACTGAAGTTACAAGTTGGTACCTTGGCTTTGGTGCATACTTCACCAACGGGTTGGCGTTTGTCAACGGGATTTACAACTCGGAATAACAGTGAACTTTTGTGGGGGGTGGGGGTAATATCGCAAAAAAGCCCCAGGCACTGCAGCCGTTCTACCGCCAAGAAAAATTGCCCGGAGTGCTGCAATATCGTGTGAAAGTCCCGCTGGTGTCACGACAAGTTGCGACT